GTAAGTTTGAATTATTCAAGAAGTTTCATTTCAAATAGTATATCATCTGACATTAATTACAACCGTTGAATTCACTCACCTAAATGATTTGATTATGACTAAGTGTATGTGTATATGTATAACTGGAATAATGTTCCAAATTCGTTTCATTATACACCCAACAAATACGTCTCGTTTGTAACCTTATGACAGTTCATTGAGTACAGGTGTATTTGGTCGAAGTTCACAAATTCAGATCCATGAAAATACAATACATATTGCAATGATTAAGAAGGAAAAAAACAAATAATTTTGTTGTCTAGTTGAGTAAATTTCAAAAAAATAACTCTCGTAAAACATAATTATTCAGACGATCTAAGACCATTTACAAAACAGAGCCCAACCGGTTATTATATGACATTCAGTAAGGCGGTTCAATCACTTTTATCAATGGTGTGTCCACAATCCTCATATAAAAATTGGTAAAGTTATCAGTGACTCATCAACGTCTAACTTTATACTGAAGTGTTTTGATGCAAGCACATTCGTATATATAAGATATTTAGAATCACAAATATGTACTGTAACACGTATTGTGACGAGATCAACAGTCCATATATGACAAAGTGTAGAGTATGTTTTACGTTCGACTCCTATTATCTTATCCACTTTGCTCAGAGGTTTATGTTTCCGGTAGACATATTGTGTCAGGTTAGATTATACGAATTTTACTTTGTCCATCATGAGTTACGTTGAAATTAAAATGTGTTGATATTCTTCTTAATGACTGTTTTATCTGTCTAGGGAAAAAAATGCATAATTACTTACATTTTATCTGTAATTCTATACATATGAAGAATATTGTTCAAAAGTCCACTTTTAATCTCATTGATCCATAGAATTTGACTTGTATTATTAGTTAAAACTATCTCCATCTACTTTATTCCATAGTTCTTAACTGAATTGGAGCACAGGCCACCGACCAGCATTCTCCAACCCACTCTGTCCTAGGCCTTCCTTTCTAGTTCTATTCAATTGTTGTTCATTCTCTTCATGTCTGTCTCCATTTCTCAGCATAATGTGTTCTTTGGTCTTCCTCTTCTCTTCTGGCCTTGAGGATTTCAAGTATGGGCTTGCCTTGTGACGCCACACCCGGAGCCCCACTTGGGCTATTGCCGGTACCAAACCCGAACAAAGGAGGAGGGCTAAGCATAGTGCTAGTGACCACATCCCGTAGAAAACTAACTCGCTAAATAGACGCTAACCACAAAAAATAATTCAAACCATTTGAAATCTGTCCTGGGAGTTAGAAGGTCTTCATTTAAAAGAGTTATGACGCCTCACAGTGAAAGCCAAGTTCCTTCGGAAGTCACGAGTCTGATGTCCCTTCTGACAACCAGAGCAACCATTAATTTAGGTACATGGAATGCTCGTACAATGTGGGAGACCGGCAGAGTCAAAAAACTCTTCTAATGTATCGCATCATTTTTAATACCAATAGATATATGCAAGTCATTCATTATTGGAAAGTGTGAAATTTGTAAGATGAATCATTATTCGACTGCATCAATCACATACATATTAGTTCCAAATCTTCATATGATATTCTTGTCTTAATTTAACATGAACTTGATTCAACATGACACACATAGTGTGATTTGTGACTTCATCCTTATTAATAATCAAAATGGGTGAACAGTTAATATATGGATGAGTGTATTCTCGACTAGGGTCGTGTTCTGGGGTAAATAAATCTTCACTTGTACTAGATTTGATATTCTTACTTACTGCTGTGGTTTCTCATTTTATAAGTATAAGTAGTAAGCGATTCCAACGTAACAATTGGCGACATAGTCACAACTGACAACGGGAATTTTGGAAAAAAAAGGAAACCATAAAAAGCGCTGATGGGATCAATCTACAAGTTTTAGTTTCCAATATAATATGGAATTTCAATATGATCAAATTGCACAAAGCACTCAGTATTTCTGGAAAATTTTATCATGAACCGTCGTCATCAGATCTCAGTATGCGTTTTAGTTATCTAGAAATACCCAAAGAATCTAATGATATTTATCTTGTTTATTCGAACAAAGTGAATGTCACACACAAAAGGGTAAATCTTCTTTCAATAATTCAAAGTCAGTTCAATTGTAATATAGAGTTACCTAATGATCCTTTTAAGTATGAAGCACATACAAATGTCCCATTCAAATGCTTTGGAGATAAAGAGAGACTAAATGCATTGTTACTAATATGTCGAAATGCAAAATGTGCCTTATTATACAGCAATATGTTGTGTCGGTTATTATGTTAAGCCCATATATCTTATTCTAGCTTTCTAGCAGCCTAATCTATTCATCCTACTTGAGTCACATTCTGACCTTGTTAATTATTCGCTTATCAATCTTGACTGTTTTTATATGAGCACGTAGGTGTGTGTACATTTCTTATCCCATTACTCATCACATGTCTGTAACTTACTTTTGTGTAACTATAAATATTGATTAACATTTGGTAAAATGGGAGTTGGCTTACCCGCCATCTCCACTCCGCGTCGTTTCTCTTCTCTTTATTTCATTCGCTTTATATACAAAATATATGTATTCACGAGTCCATTCTCGTTATTCGACTTCTTTAATTCCGTTATTGACTAACGCGATTTAAGTCGATGACTATATACGAGGATAGGAGTCAACCAACATTCATTACTATCTAATTGGAGTCAGATCTCGGGCCACTAAAGTGGAGAGCTCTTTGACAAACATCGTCCGATCTAAATGACGACAAAATTAACGGGCCTCCACGAAAAATACACTTTCCTAATGATTAGTATCAATAGGATTATATTGTTAAATTGAGAGACAAACGGAATAGTAGAATCAACAGTAATGACCTATTATGTTTATTCTATAAATGATACGGAATTCACAAGTATATCTTGCATCAATTATGGTGACCTCCTAGTTACTATCATCTGGTATTAATATAGAATTGACTTTTTTTGTCGATATCTACCCACATCATCGACAACCATAAAACCGTTCTATTTTCACTACTACAACACCATCCTACAACACTACCACCACCAGTAATAATACTAATATTATCACTAATACTATCATTACAATTACCATAACAACAATTCGAGAACTCCAACATTTCACAAGTACGTCATTCGATTATCATCTCACTTGTCAAAATATATGCTTGGTAAGTATATTTGCGAACTATCAGTAGTGATATCATTCACAGTCATTTCCATCATGGTCTGTCGACAAAAATATAAAATTCAAACTAATCAGAGTGCACACTAAACAAAATTCTGTATAAGAACATCGATTTCAAAGTTGACAAGTGATTTCTGGCTATCTCTCAAAATAATCTTCTTTACAGAAACCCTCCAATTAGTAATTTTCAACCAGTTGATATTCAGGAACAATTAAGAGACCAATTTAACATCAGTTAACTACTTCACCTACTGTTGCTGAGCCAGTTGTATAGGTCGATCAATAAGGATTCTACCCAACAAAATTTGAAGACATTATTGGATTTGGCTAAGAAGAAACACGAACATATCAAAAAGAAGCTCTATAATCGAACATTTTCTGAATACATTTACCATCTCTATCACTTTCCACCTATTTTTCTCTATTTAACTTCTACCCCTAAACCAATATATTTCATTTTCGTTGCACTCTCTTTCTAATCATGGTTCATCTCAACGTCGGCACTTCATTTTATCATATCACTCAACGTTTATCATCATCATCATCATAGTAACAATAATGAGCAAATTACCGAATATCATCCTGAGAAACAAAATATCTGCGGTTGTACGCCTTGAAAATGAATTCTCCGAAAAAACAATCTTTCTCTAAACTAATCTTTGTAATTTTGATTTCTTAATGAGTGCATTCCGTTTAGTTTTAAATTACATACCTAAATCTAGTGTGTATTTGTTGGATCCCACAAGTCATATCTATCTCATCTGCTATATCCTCCCTTCCCCACATATATTTCATACTTGGCTTTATATTCATCAGTCGTTGACACTATTCTCATACTTTACTCTCTCTTGTATTTCAATCGTCATATCTTCTATTTCTTACAAATAACCTAGAAGTAATGAGATTACGCCATGGTGTTCGGTTTAATCTTGCTTATTTTTGTTTTATTTTTGCTTTTGTTAGTCAGTGCTCCTTTTCCTTTTAAAAAAATATATATGTATCTGGATCATCTTGAATCCCTTAACTTCGGTGAAGTTTTCCACGTGAAATGTTACAATTGAAAATTACTAATTTATTACCTTAAATGGGTTCCAAAATGACCTAAAATCAAATGAGTACAGGTGGTGAACTAGTGCGACAATTAAAATATATAACAGATGAATTCACGAGTCGATCTAAGTTAGACCACCATTGAAAACCTGAGAACACTGGAAGGCCGTTCTGTTCCATTAGGATACTCCTCATCAGTGTCAACCTCCAACCTCGAACGTGGGTCTCGAACACAGGACCTTCGGTCTCACGTGAGAATGCTTAACCTCTAGATCACTGAGCTGGCATCCAGTAGTTTGAATGTCTAACTTAAATCAATCCATGATTATGTGCAACCATTCATTGATTGTCTGAGGTGGATAACTGCCTCAGACCCAACACGGATTGGACTCCACTTGATCTCCACAAATCCCCATACTGATCAAAATATATAAATTTTTTTCAAAACATACTCACGAACTAAGAAGACTAGTTTAATTTGTGTAGTTGTTACACAAACTATAAGAGTCAAAACTCTAAACAATGAGTATTGTTTGAAAGAAAATGGATCAAACTAATCCAAAACAAGAATAACAGACACTTAAGTACAATGTGATTAGTTGCTCGACTACTAATCATATTTATAATTAATAGTTCTAACAGTTCAGTTAGAGTATATATTTGTCAGACTATGTTTAATTATCTAACCACTTCCCAGAAATAAACCGTCATATGTTGAAAACACTTTAAAAATAAAAAAAGGTTCTATTAAAACACAAACCATCATTCATAATTCATTGAAATCATCATTATGAGAGGTAACATTTAATAAAGTGTACAATCTATATGGAGGTAGAACAAAGTAAACGGATTGTTGTTGACAAAGGTGATTATCATGAGAATTATCACTATCTTTTAAATTAATCTGTTTCAATCGCCAATGATCGGCAGAATTCGATAAAGACGTGGTTGATGTTGTGGTAGATCGATGACAATGTGGAATATTCTTAGTTCTGTATTTCAATGTGAATCGACAATTTCTTAAAAATGTCGGTGAATTCAAATAAGTTTTCAATGCTAATTTAATTGGTATCAAGTTATATTTTTTATTTGAAGTGACTTCAGATGAAAATGATGTAGAGGATGAAGAAGATAATGAAGAGGTGTTATATTCAGAAGTTGTATTATCATTTGTAGATTCATAAAAATTGAATGATAAATCAACGCCTTGATCTAATAAACGTTTCCATTGACAACATAATCGTTTCCAAATTAAACAATTCAATCCTAATAAAAGACGTGCTAATTCTAAATTATCTTTAGGATTTGTTGAGGATGAATCATTATTCGACAGGATTTGACAAGGAACACCACTTGATGATAAGGACGATATGACAAACGGATGACCCAATTGTACCAATGCACTGCCGCTACCATCAGTGATTACAAATCGTATACAAATGCCTAGATTAGCAAAATCGTCATTTTCTAAAATCGAAAGTGAAAATCAGGTAAGAGTCGATCAATGTTCGGGTGAGTGGCGCAGTAATTTCACAAACAGGATCCAGATAAAGTATTTATTATTGAACTGTGAAAATAAAGTAGTTTTCAACATACTGAATGCAACCTAACTGTTACAGTTATTGTTACGTCCTAAATCTGTCCGTTCGCTAATCCAGCTTTGACACGATAGATTTCTGAGAACGACCTTGAGATTTCCAACGCATGAGTTCGATTAATGACTAGAACGGCCTTAAGGGAAAAGAGAACAAAACTATCCCATCACTAAACTATGATGACCTGATAGGTAAGTGGATAGGGAGAAAATGATTTAACTGGGACTGTTATACAGTTTATTCGAATTAACCAAGATACTGTCCCAAAAGTAGCTGTCGGTGTTTATGATTTCTTCGTTCTATTTGTCTTCATAAAAAACAACATTGCGTCAACTGGATATTTATGTTACGTTTTCAGACACTAACGCGATCACTGACAAAACGCTGGAAGAACTGTACTGTGTTTGACACCCGAAAAATTGTTGTTTGTTATTACAAATGATTAAAAGATTCTTTTCATACAACATAGAATCTAAGCGAACTAGGTGGGGCGGATGATTCATGCGCAACACTTTGACAACCATCCTCAAGGCGATGGAGAAAAGAATTCAGGAATTAGCCAAGAAGCTTGATATCCAAAGACGTCAAAATTGTAGTATAATTATATTCATACAGAAACACAATCATAAACATACCAGACTGAAAACGAGAACAACTAAACAGATGTCACTAAAGTGTCAATAGGAACAAATGAATTAGAAAACCGTTGTAGAAGACATCCTTATACAGCATCAGAGCTATCATGTATTAACAAAAATAAGGAAACTAGACAATCTGAGATCCATCTAGCAACAATTAACCAAAGAAACCATCTAAAAAAACAAACACGTCTTCCACTTACGATCATCACTGGCGGTGTTAGATAAACGATAAATTTGGAATTCCAAACATCGAGTAATTGTAGCCTGTACATTGATGCGCTCTTTCAACAAATCGCCTTCTACATTTGAATATCCTGTGGAAATGGATCCGCCAATCCAATCATAATTATTACTTATTAATAATTTTGGTTCTTTGGTTACAATTAAACTATTGTCATATTCATTATCTAATGAGATCGTCAAGCTATCTGACAACTGTGTACTAATTTTATTCAACATTGAATCCTCATTCGTCTGATTCACGATTATGATGCGTGATAAATCAGTATAATTAAGGTGTAAATTAGCCACTGATGATGACCTTGGAGTGATCGCAGAAAGTGAGAAATTAATAAATCTACAATATAATATCATTTGATTAGACGTTGTGAACAATGATACAAGGTCAAGATTATTCACTGATTTAGTCTTACTGCATAGATTCACCTTGTATATAGTGGTTACGTCAATATTATTGAAACTAGATAGTGTTTTCGGCAATTTACTACAAGTTGTCACCCATAATATACAATCACTACTCAATGAACAATATTGTTTAAATAAAATGACTGCTTCAAAGTTGAGCAAACAACCAATTGGATAATTGGATCGTTCATGCATAACATCATTTAAATTGGCAACATTAACAAAGGAAAGATTCTCTTTATTCATAGGAATTGAGTTGTTTAAAATCGAAACACTAATTAATTGTCGAAGAGGTGATTGATCATCATTAAATGATGTTGAACTGTCAATATTTACCCAACTAAGTTGGTAATGATATCCAATTTGAAAATTATAATACCATCGATAAGCTAAATCACCAGTCAATGATAAATACATCAAATTTGAATCGACACTACTACCATTATTAAAAGTAGCAGTATCAGCATTAACGATTGCAACAGTATTATTTCCTATGAATTTTCCAACAAACACATAGGACCATAATAGTTTATTCGAAGAGGGAGAATGTTCATTAGGATCGACAGAAACTTCAGGAGAACAACAGGATAATGGACCTAGATTGACAAGAACAATTGTACAAGACTGTTGTTGTTCCCGTATTTTACCATAATCATTCATTATACTTTCAGATAAATAATTTACTTGAAATGGAATGATTTGTTTTGCATAAATATACATTCTGGATATAGACGATACTGAATCAGTTGAATGAAATGGCATATCAGCACTGAAATTGTAAATAATTATTCAAATAAAACTGTAGTTTGCTCATATGTCATTAACATTAAAGTTATCTTTCATAGAAATCATGAACCGATCCAAGTTGGACCACGATTAAGAACTTGGAATCACTGAACGTCCATTTCGTTCTAGTACGCAAAACCTCAGCAGTTTGCATCGACGACCACACACCCAGAACACTCAGTTCCGTGCGCGAAAGCTCAACTTCTAGACAACTGAGCTAGCACCTAACGGTGTGGTGGTCTAGAGGCTAAACGTTCGCGCTCGAGGTCAAAAGTCCTGGGTCCGATTACAAAGTGTGGAATCTTGAATGGACACTTGAGGAGTCCCATACTAAAACGAAACAGGAGTCTAGCGCTTCCAGGTTCTCAATCGTTGTCTAACTCAGATCAACTCATGATGTTAACAACAAAGTATAACGGAGCGAACTATTGTGCAGTAAACACAAGTTGACAAAACCAGTCGAGTCTTATGAATCCATGTCGATATTTCGTCAGACAGTGCCATATTAGAACTGATGAGTCTACCATGATCTGTAAATCGGTCGATACGCTCAATTACTTTACTCTGTATAATTAATTGAGGCGCTGACGCAAGTTAACCCTGAAGCAACGTTTTGCATTTTGGGGTAATCAATTGGATCTCAATCAAGCTTGCATTGAATTGACGTGAAGTTTCAACTTGAAATCGATCTGTTGAAAGTTGAGCACTTTACAAGTCTAGCCACCAGGATTTTTGTATTTAGTGGTGGATGGAGATGACGAAAAGAATTAACAGAGTTTCAGAGAGCAATTTTAGTAAACGAGGAATAAGAGAGTTATTGTTGACAGCTTTCAAAAATTTCTCGACAAAGTCTTTAGACACTCAGAAAAGACTGAAAACGTTTCGTCCAACCAGCATCAAATGGAAAGTTATCAGAAGCGTTCAAAAAAATTAAGCATTGTATCACATTTTGATTGATCAATTACTTATTTTGTTGCCATATCTAGTGCATTTCCAGGAGTTTCTAGAAGGCCAAGGTCATGCTTAAATACATATATAAGCTTGTTTTCAGTAAAATCTTGAAATGAAGCTTTTATTCTTACTTCGTACCTTTCATTTAGCATCAACTTACAGTGTGAAATTTGTTAATGGATAATCATTGAAATTAACTCGGCAAAAAAATTTGTTGGAAATCATAAAAACATTTCAGGATTTACGTGGTGAAATACATCTTTACCTATCAGCAATATGTTTCTACATCATTGAATCCAGCCATATCAGTTCCTGTTCAGGTTATTAAAAAAAATTGGCAATGAGATGGAATGTGTGGTAAGAATCATCTTCAAACAAGAATTATTATTTGACCAGCCCCCAAATGCCCTGGTACGACCGAGGGTGAGGAGAGTCCGCTCTTCCTCTCCAAATGCTCTCTCATGGCCACGCGTATATAGCCTCTGCCAGGGAAGTCCCACTCATTGCTTTCTGGTACCACGGGTGTTGTTTACGAAATTGAGAGGACAAAAAGCTAATGTCCGGCGCTTTACCCGGGTTGGTGGACCCTCCGTGTCCACTAAGGGGAGTTAGAAAACCCTCATTCCAAACCAATGGTGCACACGGGCTCCAGTATCCTGAGGGAACAAATGATGTATGAACCAGTCGTTGGTAACCGGCTATAATGGGACTGCATCTCCTTACGATGCTCCACTGCCGTGTGGATCAGACTTTCAGGTCGAAGGTTCTGAGTGTGGCTTCCTGCTTCAGTTTGAGCACCTTGGTAGTATCACAGCCCTCACACATATCAAATGAGATTTGTGTGGCTCATATGTATTTGGTGCCTCCTTGTACCAATAATTATGTGTTCAAATAATAATAATAATAATAATAATAATAATAATAATAATAATAATAATAATAATAATAATAATAATAGATAATATAAGAATAGCTATATTCTATCTGTTTAGGAATTATTAGTGGTATTACACCTATATAAATATCGAACCTATGGAGCTTCAGATTTGTATGAATGTATACATGGTGTAGGATAATTTCATGAACTTACCCCATAGAACTCAATGAGAATTGAAGACTAGACAGATACAATATTGGTTATTACCTCGTGAACAAGCAATGTAGATATCTTTGTCCTAAAAAAAGTAAATCATGATCAAAATCACTCAGTTTTAAAGTCTCACACTATAGAACTGAGTGAATCCCATGAAAAGCATCAATTCTCCCTGAAGATCATAGACAAACCTTGTGCGAACGAGTACCAACTACGGAAACATATAGACTGAACAGAAATTCCCGCCAAATGTCTCTAATCAATATTGACAATTATATTATATTTCAATTAAAACCTGAAATACAATTTAAGCAAAGATGGATGGTGTCTAACAGTCGAATTCAGGATGAGCATTTCATATTATTCGGGACTCGTCAGCTGGATATACCTGCATCACACAATTGATGTTCACTCCCAAACTTGAACCCAGTACCGTTCACTTAAAACGTCATCGCGTGATCCACTTAGCCACTGAGTTCTGGCATTTTAGGCGACGGTACTAGGTTCGAGTCCCGAAGTGAACATCAACTATGGGATGTAGGTACATCCAAATAAGAGGAAACGCGCATCCTGGATTCCACTGTTAATCACCGTCAATCTTTGCTTACAATGCTTATGACTTAAGGTAATATCGAAACAATACGCACAGGATGCATATATTGCCAATAATAGACTGATCAATTGCAGTCATAAACATCAATGAGAAGACTCAAACAAACAGTACAAAATGAATTAGAAATATAATTTGTTTGAATGAAAAATATTTGACTAACCAATTTTCAGAAGTGATTACTTCTGCTGACCTCTCTTCATCATACAATACTTGTACATCCTTCAATAATATTAAACTATGATCGGATGGTAGAAATAATACTTTGATTTCATCTGATGTATTCATATTAAATATCAGTGGAACAGAAAGAGTATTATCCTTTTCATTATTATTATTATTCTTACCATCATTATTATCATTACAGAAATGATTAAAAATACTCTTATGTACAGTTTGTAAATAAAAACAACCATGTGTATTATTCCATAGAATTTTCCCAATCACATACAATGATGATTCTAAATGATTCTTAAACGTTGTTTGAGTCATGGTTGATGAGATTGGAATTAAACGTTTGAATGAACGACGATAATGTTGAAACTTATTATGATGTAATTTTATTTGTAAGCTAATTTGTATAATACACAAATGAAATAAAAGAAAAGATCAATTTTAAGTCTCGTGTCCTTTCAGTAAAGAAAATATATGAATCAGAATACTAATGAAAAAATAGCATGAAGTAATTTGGAAATAGATGGACAGTTCCTAACAGTAGAATCTAGAAGGCACGTTTCGTCCTATTCAAGACTCGTTAGCTAAATACAATCGTATCCTAGCGATTTAACTACGCCTAGAGTCCCTCCGGGGGTTACTGCCGGTCCCAAGCCTGGATAGAGGAGGAGGGTTGGGCATGGGGTTAGCGTCCCCATCCCGTAGAAAACTAACTCGCTAAAAAACGCTAACCAGGAAAAATTATTCAAACCTTTTAACCTCTGCCCTGGGAGTCAGAAGGTCTTCATTTAGAAGAACTATGACGCCTCATGATGAAAGCCGAATTCCTCCGGAAGTTACGAGGCCGATGCCCCTTCTGACAACCAGAGCGACCATTTATTTAGGTACATGGAATGTTCGTACAATGTGGGACACCGGGAGAGCCTTCCAAATTGCTGCAGAAATGAGAAGATACAACCTAGAGGTACTTGGCATCAGTGAAACACATTGGACGCAAGTTGGACAACAACGACTAACTTCAGGAGAGCTTCTGTTATACTCCGGCCATGAAGAAGAAAATGCCCCACATACACAAGGATTTGCATTGATGCTGTCCAAACAAGCGCAAAATGCGCTTATAGGATGGGAATCTCATGGACCAAGGATCATCAAAGCCTCGTTCAAAACAAAAAAGGAGGGCATTACAATGAATATTATTCAATGCTATGCGCCTACCAACGATTACAATGAAGACGCTAAAGATCAATTCTACAATAGGCTGCAGTCAATCGTCGAGAAGTGCCAAACAAAGGACCTGACCATTCTGATGGGAGATTTCAACGCCAAGGTTGGAACGGACAACACTGGATATGAAGACATCATGGGACGACATGGACTGGGAGAAAGAAACGAAAATGGTGAGAGATTCGCAAACCTATGTGCCTTCAATAAACTGGTCATAGGTGACACCATATTCCCACATAAACGCATTCACAAAACCACATGGACTTCACCGGATCACTCTACACAAAACCAAATCGACTATATTTGCATCAACAAAACGTTCAGGAAGACTATAGAGGACGTGAGATTCAAGAGAGGTCGCCAAGATGAAATTGAAACTCAAGAAGCACTGGACAATGGGGCGGACAATATCACAAAAGTTCAATACGGCCTTTCTTCAGGATACTAACAAATTCAAGATAGACCTCAGCAACAAGTTCCAGGCCTTTCATGATCCACTCAATGGGGAAGGAACTACTGTGGAAAGAAACTGGAAGGGGATCAAAGAGGCAATCACTTCAACATGTCATGAGGTCCAGGGTCACAAGAAGCATCATCACAAGGAATGGATCACTGTTGATACACTGGATAAGATTCAAGAAAGAAGGAACAAGAAGGCAGCAATCAATACCAGTCGAACAAGAGCAGAAAAAGCCAAAGCACAAGCTGAATACACAGAAGTAAACAAACAAGTGAAGAGGAGTATCAGAATCGACAAACGTAAATATGTGGAAGATTTAGTAACAACGGCGGAAAAGGCTGCAAGAGAAGGGAACATGAGACAACTGTATGACATAACAAAGAAACTCTCTGGAAATCGTCGCAAACCAGAACGACCAGTGAAAAGCAAGGAAGGCTAGGTAATCACCAACATTGAAGAGCAACAAAACAGGTGGGTAGAACACTTCAAAGAACTCTTGAATCGACCAGCTCCACTGAACCCATCCAACATCGAAGCAGCACCCACGGACCTCCCAGTAAATGCTGACCCACCAACAATTGAAGAAATCGGCATGGCCATCAGGCAAATCAAGAGTGGCAAAGCAGCAGGATCAGACAACATTCCAGCAGAAGCACTAAAAGCAGACGTAGCGGCAACTGCAAGGATACTCCACATTCTCTTCAATAAGATTTGGGATGAGGAACAAGTACCAAAAGACTGGAAAGAAGGACTTCTGATAAAAAGACCGAAGAAAGGCGATCTCAGCAACTGTGATAACTACAGGGGCATCACTCTTCTCTCAATACCGGGAAACATCTTCAACAGGGTATTGTTAAACAGGATGAAGGACTGCGTAGACGCCCAACTTCGTGACCAACAGGCAGGATTCCGTAAGGATAGATCGTGTACAGACCAAACCGCAACTCTACGGATCATTGTGGAACAATCAATTGAATGGAATTCATCACTCTACATCAACTTCATTGACTACGAAAAGGCATTTGATAGCGTGGACAGGACAACACTATAGAAGCTTCTTCGACACTACGGCGTGCCTCAAAAGATAGTCAATACCATACAGAGTTCATATGATGGATCACACTGCAAAATCGTGCATGGAGGACAGTTGACAAAGTCGTTCCAAGTGAAGACCGGTGTTAGGCAAGGTTGATTACTCTCATCCTTTCTCTTTCACCTGGTGATCGACTGGATCATGAAGACGTCAACATCCGAAGGGAAGCACGGGATACAATGGACATCTAGGATGCAGTTGGACGATCTGGACTTCGCAGATGATCTGGCCCTTCTATCCCAAGCGCAACAACAAATGCAGGAGAAGACAGCCAGTGTAGCAACAGCCTCATCAGCAATAGGTCTCAATATACACAAAGGAAAGAGCAAGGTTCTCCGATACAACACAGCATGCACCAATCCAATCACGCTTCACGGAGAATATTTGGAAGATGTAAAAACCTTTATATATCTGGGCAGTATCATTAACGAACATGGTGGATCTGATGCAGATGTGAAGGCACGGATCGGCAAAGCAAGAGCAGCATATTTACAACTGAGGAACATCTGGAACTCAAAGCAACTGTCAACCAACACCAAGGTCAGGATTTTCAATACAAATGTCAAGACAGTTCTACTGTATGGGGCGGAAACCTGGAGAACTACGAAAGCCATCATCCAGAAGATACAGGTGTTTATTAACAGTTGTCTACGCAAAATACTTCAGATCCGTTGGCCGGACACTATTAGCAACAACGTACTGTGGTAGAGAACAAACCAGATCCTAGCAGAGGAATAAATCAGGAAGAACCGCTGGAAGTGGATAGGACACACATTGAGGAAATCACCGAACTACGTCACAAGACAAGCCCTAACATGGAATCCTCAAGGCCAAAGGAAAAGAGGAAGACCAAAGAACACATTACGCCGAGAAATGGAAATAGACATGAAAAAGAGAATGCTGGTCGTCGGCCTATGCTCCATTGGGAGTAACAGGCGTAAGTAAGTAAGTAAGTATCCTAGCGATTTACGTACATTATACTGGTATTTGAATCTTTTTGAATCTCTTTAAATGTATAACGCATTATCGATTGAGTTATGGATAGAATGTTTACATCACGATCAGGAATGGATGCCCACTGCTGAGGAGATGTCGAACAGAACGAAACGGCTATCTAGTGATTTCAAGTTTTCAATGGTGATCTAGCTAAGATTGATTCGTGGTTTCGACGGTGAAAATATTGGCAACTTGTTTAGTTATTTTGTTGTTGATATCAGAGAAAAATTCTGATCAATCTGTGTTGAAATATGTATATCCAGTGTGGATTTCTCCTCTCTCTCTCCCCATATACATATATAACCCTTTCTAATGACGATTTAGATAGTTATTCGTAATCAAATGTAGTTCCAATTAAAATAATTATTCCTTGTTACGATCAGATATTTGTGTAGATGTATTCAGTCATGGTATTGTCTTAACTTAAATCTTAAGTTTCAAACTTATCTTATATTTTCTATCTCTCGAATTTATTCTTTCTTCTACAATCATAATGTTAGTATTTCTACTACAGTGCAACTTGTTTTGACCATTTTATCTTGCTGTGCAGATATGTATGTGGAGTGGGAATTTCAATCAATGTGCATATATCCTAGATTTAAGTCAGCTTTTCAGTCAATAATATACAACGTAGAACCTTGAACAGAATATCATTCATGAATATTTAACCATTGAAGTTAGGAGCTTCAAACGTAATATTAATAATAATCAGTGTGGAGCTGTGTAGATTGTTAGATTTCACTGAAGTCACAAATTGATCTAAGTTAGACAACCACTGAAAACCCAAGTTTCTGATGAAGAGCCATGACTAATGGAGCTAAACCTCATCTAGTGCGAGGAAATTATCTACCGATAAAAGGAAGATGATCGCGCAATATTATGGATTAATTGGAGTTAGACTTATAAATAATTGAATCCCGGCTAAAATGGTCTGGAGATTGTGCTCACGGACGAGACCAAAGTGTTGGGATATTCGGAAAAATATACCAATAGTTATCCTGTTAAGTCTAATGGTGTCCTTGGACTTTAAATGAACATTTCCTATTGGCCAATATTTATTTCACTTGTCAAATATTGTACAAATGTTGTTTTCTATTTTATGGTACGATGTGGTCCGTTTGATTGGTATATAAAGAGTATGTCTGAAATATGACGATTCATATCTCAGATGCTGATACTTGCATTCTGGACTCAACTGGCTGGGTTAGACAGGGGAGCGGGATCAATCAGAACACTAGGCTGATCGTACGGTTTTACGTGTCATTGATCCGATCGATAATACGCTGCTCCATAATCAGCAGTCACAAGTCACAACACAAAGGTCCTGGATTTGAATCCTATTTGGGCGGATCGTGGGTGTGTACTCTCGAAGAGTACCATGATAGGACGAAACAGAGCTCAATAATTGATTTCACTGTAATAATGATAATAGCAAAAAAATCCAGTTAATGGACGAAGAACTAAATTTCTTTTGAGTTGAGGAAATACTTTTAAGACATACAGCGTTTTGCATACTTGAACATGCCATAAATAGTTCGTTGTTGTTGACAATGACGACGATGATTTTGATGGTATAAATTGTGTAATATAAGAGGAATAAATGCATTTAAAACACTGATCTGTTGTTGAAAATGTACAAATTTCTTCAGAATCATTGTTCGATTCATTTGATTTGTCAATAGATTGAAGCTTAACAATAATATCGTGTAAATCAATGATATTATCTTTCATGAAATTGAAGGATTGATAATTTTCTTGTACGTTGGATATGAATGGGAATTGTATAAAATCTTCAGCATATTGATATGATTTGAAGTTGATATTTCTTGATTGAATGAACAAATTGGATAGTAAATGTTTAAATAATTCAGATAATGTACAGTCTTGATTTCTTAATATATTCTCCTGGAAATAGGAAATAATTATATAAAGTACATGGATAACTGTTAAACAGAATATTATCAGTATTAGCGTTACTTACTGCAAAATTAATAAGTAGTATAATGAAATAAGCATCATACCAGATAAACAAGTTTGTGATTATCTTCACTCAGTAGCTCAGAGGAGAACATAATGAGAACGCATGAATAGATTATATTTAGCACAAAGTATCTATTAAATAGCATAGAGAATACAGCATCACTCATTGTTACTAATGTTATCTTATTGGCTGAAATCATGCGTCATTTGAAGCTAGACAACCATGGAAAACCTGGGAGCATTGGACGGCCGTTTCGTCCTAGTGTGGGACTCCTCAGCAGTGTGCATCCACGACCCCGCACCCCGACAGATTCGAACCCAGGACCTATCGGTTTTGCGCCAGGCGCTCAATCAACTAAACCGCTGAGCCGGCATCCAACGGTGTTAATGTCTAACTTCAACCAATCCACATAGTTGCGCTACCGTACACCATTGTCTTCAGTGAGTTACTATCTCACAACAGACCTGGTTGAACTCCACTGGTAACGGCTTCTCACTAAAACTCCGTATCTCTTGTAGTCAGTCCCATACCAGGACGAAACAGCCGTCCAGTGCTTCCAGGTTTTCCATGGTGGTCTAGCTTAAATTGACTCATGATTTCAATCAGTGAAATTTCTAAAATCTTCACAAAACCCCTTCTGATACTAATGTTATCTGTATCACCGATTTCAATTCTATATGATATACATAGTGATGGTTTTGTTCAGAATTACATTGATATAATCGAAATTGAAAAAAATTAACTAAGAAAACACACAATCACTAGAAAATGCAGATTAACCAACAATTATAAGTAGTTGATATCAGTAGTAAACTTGGCCTAAATATAAACTTCTTCATAACACATTTTTATATATTATAATGTTAAAAGTGTAAACATAGTAATTATGTGTTGTTCTAAGATTTGATACTGAAACACAATCTCTTGATAAACAAGACCAACCAGCTAATGGAGTTAAAATACTAAGAGTGAGGAACGGAGTTTATTTTCTAAACCGAATCAAACATATGTGTACTTATTCATATATATATGTTCCTTGGAAAATTAGGCCGCCATTGTTATATGTTTCATTCCTAAAAAATGAAAGCCATTTCTTGATCAATCACATGCACCTATCATCTAGTCAATTTCTGACTGACCCTATATATCATCTTTCTCTTTAGATAATAAATCTAGTTTCTCGGATTCAGCTTAAGGTGTTCGGATGGAGTCACATCAGTGCGAAATCATGAATGTAATACATTTTATTGATGTATCTACAACTAGGAATAATAACTCCTAGGCTCAACTATACTCCAAATGAGGACATTTGTGACAATGAAGTAATTATCATTATAGACTATAGAAGATCGATTCAGGCAATCAACACTTGCTATAAATATATACACATAATTACATTGAAAATGCAACAGAAATTTAGCATACTAAGAGAACATTCATGAACTAGCAAAAAGCAGCATCATAAAATGCAGTAAAAGCGAGGAGTGGCTCCCATGGAAGAGATTTGATTCAAAAAATTGGAGAATTCAAGTTTATAAAATAAAGTAACTAGTAAGTAGGTGTTTTATTGAAAATTTAACATCTCCAACACCCATACAAAACAAACACTATAATTGAAACACAGTGGTTTAGTACACAGATTGAAACTCTACTCACCTTTCTTCAATTTGCACAGGCGAATAGTATCAGTTGGAGATGATGAGATCTCCCCGCCACCTCCTAAGAAAAAACCGCCTACTTCTTTCCCATTGATTGGTTGTCTTTAAATATGCCATATTTTGGCCCTACTTTCAAGGATATCATATATATTACGTTATAACTGTCTGTCTAATTTATTCTTTCCAACTCTCGACTAATAAACTCTTTAGAACAATATTAATTTATTGAGTTAAGCCAAGTTAAAAAAAGATAAAATGAGTTTATGTTATTCAGTGTATCTAAATTCAAACTACAAGTTTCTTGTCATATAGACAAGCCATCAGTAACTCTCATAAAGAAGTGCCTATCACAAATGTGCATTAACATAAGTTCTTAATACTATATTGTCACAATGAGACGAATTGAAAAAGATGAATAGCAAAAAAATTGAAATAATCCAGTAGACATAATCATGAGAAAGATTGAACATTGAGTATATAGTTCGAAAAGATAAAATGAAAAAAGTATGTATAAAGGAGTATTGAGACTCAAGATCTACAACAAAATAAAAAGTGAAGGTATCCAGCGCGATTGTAATCGATTCCGAGCTAGGTTAAGCAACGTCTTCAATTACTGACAATAATAATAATAATAATAAACTTAACCAGATAGCCTACATCTTACATTACAGTTAATATCAAAGATTTTATGAACTGATTTGATGTCTTCATTTAGTTGCCAGAGCAAAACATGGCACAAGTCCATGAAGTCACTGACAAGTGGACTGAGTCATGTCGGTAGATGTAGACTACCTGGTTGGGATCCGCGAGATGATAGCAACCGATGGTTAGAGACCTTGAATGACATGGCTCAAAATCGTTTGCAATGGCGCAGGTGCATCCACTCTTTGTATTCTCCCAAATTTTGATCTCCTGATTCCCCCTTGTCTCTTTTTTTTCTCTTCCCAAGTTTATTTCACTGTATTATGTTACTCTTTAAGTAACATCTCCAAACACTAATCTTTCCGATTGCTGCTTATACTCTTAATACCTCTACCACTACGGGATTTGAATCGATAACTGCATCGCTGTGCTAATGTGATATGGCAACTCGAACTGATGTACGTACGTACGAAGTTCTACGTTACTGACTGACTCCATTTAGTTGACCCAAAGTTTCTTCCGACTACATCTACTCCAGCCAACATTACACGATGAGATAGATGATAGTTAAAAAAGCGTAACACATATCTTAGTTACCTCAGTCACTATAGATTCCTAACCTTATCAATCATATTTGATTATAATAAAACATTTCAAATAAAAAAAGCACAACAATTTTAATGATTTTTAATAGTTGAGATCATGAGTCAATTTGAAACTAGACAACCATGGAAAACTTGGAAATATTGGAGGGCCATTTCATCCTACTGTGAGACTCCTCAACAATGAGCATCTACGATTCCATCTCACGAAATTAAAACCCAAGATCTATCAGTCTCATGTGCGAGCACTTAATCACTAGACCACTGAGCCAGCCGTCATCTAATGATGTTAATGTTTAACTTCAATTAATTCATGAAATTAAGTGACATATCCATTAAACATACTTTATAATGTATAACTTCTTTCTTGTATTGTAAACTATTGATTTGATAAGCTAAACAAAAATTAAATAAATAATTTAAATCATGTAATAATAATGAAAATTTCTTTTTATTCAATTGTTCATTAAAATGAAAACAATCACTTTGACAATGAATAGTTTGCTTGGAATAAATAGTAGATAATTTATTATTGTCTATATCTATGGTTGATGATGATGATGATGAGGAGGAGGAGGAGGAGGATGAATAGATGCCTGGAATAAGTAGAGCATAGAAATGTGTTTTGTTATTATCATGATTAGTATCAATGAAAAATGACCAAACATTAAATAGTTTAATATTTTGTCGATATAATAACTTATCAACGGATTGAATAATTTTATTAATATTTAATAATAAATAATGTTGGTTACATTTTGGATAATGATGATGATGATTAGTTCGTTCGAATTCCAAAAAAATCCCATTACAATGACTAGAGATAAGAGATAATTCTATGGAAGGAATTAACCCTACAGGAAATGATCTTGATGGTAATGGAGAAGAAGTAGTAGGTGAGAATGACTGTGACAAACAACATTCATGAATACAGTTTGAAGGTATTCTAGAACGAGGTAATGATTCAATATATGTTTGATCTGGTATAAAAAGCCATACTTTACTTTCTCGATTCTATAAGAAGTAAAAATAACAACAACAAAAAAATATAAAATCAGCGAAAAGATTTAATAAACGGATTATATAAGACTGTGAGAATCAACTTCTATACAGTATAAAATAAGACTCAAATTTATTGTATGAAATGGTATTCGTTTGTAAAAGCTTGTAGTAACCTACTTTTATCAAGAGAACGCGATTGATTTAATGGAAACAATTATTGTTATAACCAATTGTACCAGTGATTGTTTTACTGTACTTGTTTGTTTATCTGTACCAAAATACATACATTCTTTCGTTGATTGTGACCTTGCACGAATTCATGTTACGCTCAGTAACCACACTTGTAACCTGGCACGATCTCGGTATCCTTTAGATACTACGAGATCACCAGCAAATACATCTCGACTACAGCCATCAACTGCCTTCTGTATAATCTTATCGGTTAACTGGCACGCAGTCTTCCTGTAATGTTAATCATAGTCAACCGCAACTCGACGCTACGCTACAAGCTTAAGCAGTCAAATTCAAGAGTGAAATGATGGCCTAATCAGTATGGATTGAATGTTCATATTATAATATCACACAGTTTCACATTTTCAGTTTTAAGAAACAGAAACTTCCTGAGTAGATTTCCCGTAAGTAATTCTTTGACACTAGCGTCGCTTAAAGGTCATCCATAAATTATAAACAATAGGTTCATATGCCATTTGTTTCCTTAAAATACTGGAGTCCATGTACAATACTGGTTTGGAATCAGGGTTTTCCAGCTCAACTAGGTGAACCCTCCATATCTACCAACCGTTAAATCGCTAAACATTCGCTTTGCTTCCTCTCAATTTCGTAAACAACAACCGCCACCATGAGAAGGCAGCGAGTAGGACTTTCGTGGCAGTGGTTGCATGCACGTGGCCATGTCAAAGGATTTAGAGAGAGAGAGAGATGATGGAAAAAAAAGTCAATTTTCCATTGAATTACTCATTATGAGTTTTATTCAACATTCAACATCCGTTTTGATTCAACATGAGGATCATTCAGTGTAGTATTTGGTTTGTTTTCCCAGTATGATATTTTCTTCTGTATACATATACGATATTCTTGTATTCAGTTGACATGACCTATGCTCAGTAAGTGATTTGTTATAACTGAGTATGTGATTAAATCCTAATTAATAATCAAAATGGGTGTACGATCAATATATAAACCAGTGTATTTTAGACGATATTGATTCGTCGTCGTCATAGTGTTTTGCGGCTAATAAATATTCACTTATACCAGTCTTGTGTTCTTACTTTCGCATTGTGGGAATTGCCAAGGTCCCTCGTTTCGAGTATAAGTGATCAGCGTTTTCCGGCACAACAATCAGCGACGACCAAATATAACAGAGAGCTGACTCTCTCAACTCTCGGCCGTACCAGGGTATTCGGAAGGGGGGCGAATAAACATAAAACCAAAAAATTAATTATATTGGATAAATCCATTAGAAAACTGTTTACCTGTTTATAATATATTCGACTTTCTTTTAAATTATGTATAGAAATCCAACATCTTATTGGACAATGATGTAAAAATTGTAAACATTTCTCTTCAATCATTGTATTATCATCATCATCATCATCATGGTCTTTTACATTCCATTGAATAATTACATTATATATAGAATGACAAAAACAATCTGAATTTGAAGTGATTTTAATGAATATAGTATATTTATTTTTAATAAGAAATTTTCGACTAATACATTGTACAAATCCATAGATAGAACAATACAATGATAATGTCGAAGAAGATGAGGAGTTCAAATATAATTGAGACATTATTATTCTCAAGTATTCACATTGAATCAAACTCGATGATGATGTTGAAGATTGACAGATAATCTAGAAAAACATTGATCATTTAATACACTGAAATAGATGAAAATAAAAATGATAAATTCTGATGTAATAGTGAATACCTGAAAGTCAAATAAATTCAGTTGGGGTTTTATAGTAAGAAAAAATAACTGTTTGAGGTTTATTGTAGTCACACATTGATAACTGAGAAATCATTGAACATATGAAATATAAGACATTTGTATCATTATAATTAACGTGTAGTCAAGACCTCAATTATAGGCACGTGACTTTTAAATCAATGAGTTCAAGTGACTTGCTATAACTTTGAGTATTCCTTCTGAAGCAAGTACAAGTGAACACAAAACGAGAATCTATTTGAACCGGTACAACTTACAAAAATCTATTTTTAAGACAAATAATGATCCAACACCCATATGCAGAGTCTTCTAACCACTTTAACAAACAATGCAAGAATCATCGGAATGTAATTGTATACCTCATCACTCAAAATGTTGATTTAGGGTTAACTTGCGTTAGCGCCATGGGTCCATAAGACTCGAGTGATTTTTGTCAACTTGTGTCATTTTGGCATAGGTGAGATATCAATCCGCCGACCAAACGACGAGTCTACTGCACAATGATTCGCTACGTTCTACTTTGTCAGTATCCAATATTCTTCCCTCCCCCAAGAATAGTAGATATTCGCACGTTACTAGTATTTGATCATAGGTGTCTTCAAGCATCACTCGTGTATTTTGGAACTACGAGTCAGTAATGTCGAGGTTCCAAATAGGATACTTTACTAGGTAACGTTGCTAAATCGATTGATGAGGTAGTAAATCTTCATCAAATGAGGTGGCCTGGACATGTGTTACGTACACTCAAGCACTGTCTGGTGTAGTCGTAGGTTGCGAGGAAGATAAGAGACGCCATATCGAGACCTGGTATCAGTCCATAAAGACATTGAATATTGAATTCAGTTATGTTAATAGGTGTAGATTACTTGATTGTGATCCATGTAATTATCGTAACCAGAGTTTAGAGACTTTGGGTAACATGGCTCGAAATGGTCTACAATGATGCGGGTGCATCCATTCTCTGTCTTCTCTTTCATATTCTAAACTTCTGGATTTCTCATGTTTTTATTTCACTAATATATTTTCTTGAATCTTATATTCGACAGGTGATCTTTTCTACTATCAGTGATACTGTTACTGTCTCTACTACTCTGGGATACGCCCCAACATTTTCGTATCTCTGTGCTAATCGAATACAGAAACTTGAAGCGTTGTACATACATACCAGGTTCTACGTTGCGACTAACTGACCTAAATATAGTAAGTATCCATACACTGTTACAACGGGTAGAAGTGAAAGATCACTACCTAATTTTAGGAAGATAGACCACCAATGGTTGCATGAGAAAAGCAAGGGAAACCTGACAATGTTGACTTATGATTTTTCTACTAATTAGACCTGGTGAACAGACCCAGTAGATGCAATGTTACCCTATAACGTTTTAAAGAAACTTTATGCTTTAAGTTCGGCCTCTCTTGGGATACACTTTTTATCTCCAGCTTATTCTTATTCGTATATTCATAAATTCGAGTGAAGTGCATTATAGGAAAATGATATTTTAGACAGGAAATAGTGTAACTGTCACCTTGTACTCATTATTTTATTGATCTTCTGTTATTTAACAATTAACAAGATTATGTTTATTTAGTTGAATATCTTGTATACTAAGTTAACTACTTGGATTCATAAAATAAATCATTAAGCCAATAGTTCTGTCAACCAAATGTTATTTGCAGTGTTGAGATTGAAAGATTAGTTGTAATGTGAACAAAATTACAAATCCTGTCACTTACATCTATTTCAGTAATGTTATGAAGTAATTATGTCTAAATGTATATACATATACTGAATATTATGTGTTTAGTTAACTGCAACTTTATTTATCTATACTATATACATTTTGTTATTAGGACAAATTGGTGAATAATGTAATTGATTACCATCTATCTATAGACTTGTACACTAAGCTGTAATATACACAATTATATGTTAACTACATATAACAGATTTCCATTGGCACGATAGTTCCCGGCATTGTCTAGCTAAAATCAGTTTGTGATGAAAAACTACTCAGTAAACTAAATTTACCGTTATTCATTTTCAACTTTTATTAGCGCGGCAGTGACCAATTACCAGTATTGTAAAATCTATTCAAAAAGAAATCTTGTCGGATTATTCGCATGCAGTAAGGAAAGAAAGTTCAAAATTTAATTTTTGTATGATTTAATGCATTCTAACAGCTAGATGGAGATGCAAAACATATCTCCGGATACCGTTAAAACATACCTTCCTCTCAAGCTGCTTGGTACCATAAATAACAAAACATCTACTTGTTTGAAGGGTTTATGAAGGCTGTTGTTGAGTCTTTTAGTTTAAACCAGGCAACGAACTTGGTTGGTAAACTATGGAAAATCAGAAAACACTGGAGTTATTAGGTCGTACGATATGACTCATTAACAGTCCTAACCCACAAAGCCAATTCGGAATCGAACCCTGAACTCTCGGACTTCGCAGCGAGCACTTGACCCTTAGATCGCTGAGCGAGTATCCAATAATTTACATTTTTAACGTAATTGCTTCACACTCAACATGGACTACACTGGTCATGGCTTCTCAATAGAAATTCAGGAACTGAGTAACTAAATAACCAACAACTACAAATTCTCCTACGTTTCGAGAATACATCTTGAATCTATTCAATAGTGAAAACACAATCCTTGGGTTTGTCAGGCGCTCTGTGGAGATCAGTTTGGGCCAATGCTACCTCAGTTATGAATGTAGTCATTCTAGTTTTGGCTCAAAGTGACAGTGAAAAATGAGTAATATGGATTATGCATATGCTATATTCCAAAAGACGATTGGACTGCAAGTATTACATCAAGAACCATTATGTAAGTTTACGGTTAATAAAAGATGGTGACAATCGGATCAAAGAACTGAATATGAACTTGTTTTCAGTGAACAAATTTTGAAAAACTATTCATTTGTTGATTGACAACAATTATGAAATCAAACAACAAACAAAATGTTTCCCAAAAAAAAACTATTTGTCCAATAAATACGCGAACTGAGATCACAAGAACATTCATTGCAAAATTGAATGCATTACAATACGACTTCGATTGTTTAAAACATCCTTGAGAGATCTCAGAAGTTAGGTTTCTCAATTGCCTGAAATTACTCACGAACAATTATAACTGGTACATTTCGTTCTTTTTTTTGTTGACAAAATTCACAGATTAATAGTACTTAAGTACAGAGGGACTATCAAAATTACATTGATACAGGAAAGTTGATGTTTGCATGCAATTTAACAGATTGTTTGTTCAACTCTATTCATAACTAACAAATCTAGTAGTTCAGTTCGCATTTTCATTGGACATGTCTATAAATTATTTATATTGAAGAAGAAGAAGAAGAATAACACCATACTATATTATTGTATATATTTGTCAATAAAAACAAGACATAACATAGAAATGTTAAAGAAATGAATGTTATATAGAGAAAATAGGCAAGATGAAATGAAGCGCTAATAATGAACAAAGAGAAGTAAAAAAAAGAAGACTATCTTTTAAACAATAGTTTAATCAAACTACTTTCATTACTGTTGACAATGTAAATCAGGAAGAGAAGTAACGAATAGACAGATTTGTGTATATACAAAGAGAAATCAATTTAAAATGGGGTATGTACTTGAAATAAAAGAGAGAGTACATTAAGTATATTAGGAACTTTTTGTTGAAATAAATTTAGAGAATAAAAATGATGTATTGAAACAATCAACTTTGCGTGTACAATACAATAGATTAATGAGGAGAGAAAAAAAAGAGAGAAAAAAATAGCACATGTGGTGATAGCACTTTTAAATTCATGTATTATTGTCACATAATGTTTATTTGGTTAATGTCGGTGAAGATGACGATGATGATTGTGATGGTAAACCGTGAATTAACAAAGCACCCAGTTGAGATGATACTGGTTGATTAAATTCTAATTTAGCATCATAACGAGATAAACAATTGAAATGTCCTGGCATCCAATCTTTCAAAGATTCTATACAACCATTTAACCATGTAATCCAAGCATCACGTTCTTGTGATGTATCAGCACAAAGTAAATGTCTATATGGAAATTGGGAAAATTGGACAGATAAAATAAAACAAAACTTGAAAGACTTAAATTTGAAAATGTCGATTGAATGTGTGCACACACACACACACAGTCTAACTACTCATATACCAGATTTATGTACTCTACTTTGAAGTGCAATGCAAGTACATGAGCTAGTGCAAGCATTACCTGGTACCTACACTAAACTGAAGTAGGTAATTTTCAAGAGTTCGAACCTGTAACCTAACTCTAATAGCGTGAATGTTGTAACCATTAGATTATTTATTTCATAGAATGAGCGGATAAATGTTGTGCAAACTATTTTAAAAAGTCTACAATAAGAAAAATAAGGGAATAACTTCTTGGCGCAATACGTTCTTAAATTGAAATTTTAATACAGTGTTTTAAGTGTAATTCGCTGAGCATTAAAACTTTTAGGTACTCAATTCAGTCTAGAAAATTAAGAGAATACAACACTGATCGATTTTCAAACAGCCGAAAAATAATTACACCTTTATAGATATCTAAATTTATCCAACTCATATTGCGTCATTATTAGATGGGAGAAGATTCTACATAAAACAGAATGTGCTAGACAATTGACCTGTCACGCCTGGGTGGTAAGTCAGTTAACTGAATTGACTTTAGTCAAAAAGTTGCGGGTTCGAATCCCGTTCCATCTAATTCAGTTTGGTTAGCGAAATGAGATATCATTAAATATTATTTTTAAAAATGCAGACCAAATGTGAATGCATGGACTTGATTGTGACTTTTGCTGTATTGACCAATAGAACAGAGTATGGTTTTAACTACAAGTGTGATGAGTCATATAATAGTGGTCTCGAACTAAGATAACACAAAACTAGATGACTTCCTATAATTCCTAGGGTATAAAAAGTCCATGATGAGAATTAGCTTCAGATTGAGGAACCATTAATAAGTTTAATAAATGAAAAACATAAAGATTTAGTCAACAATTTATTTCACTGATACGCTAAACGAGGTCAGACAAATCAAACAATGTCTCAAAACAGCATGATATATGAAAGACAAAAGTGGACCGGCCCTTTTGAGAATACACAAACTGTTCACTCCCCTTACAAATTACCTGGGTCAATCTGGCCAACATAAAAACATTTATGAGTTGTAAGCAATGTTGTTATGTTTTTAGCAATAGAAATCCCCATTCTCCCTTGATCTTCTTTACTAATGTATCTGGAGTCAGATAAGATCACAACAAACACACTGTCTATCGTCATACAACTCGTAGCAAATCATATATTATAGAGAGAGTCAGAAATAGCATCCAAGATGCACAAAACAGATGTGAACAGAATTTGATTAGAATCAGTGAATCGTATTCTTCTTAAGTTAACATAGATATATTAACAAAAATAATTCTAAACAGTAAACTATAAAAAACTCACTTTTGTTCCAACCATCTATAATCAGTAGAAGCACGGAATATCAGACTTTCATTTGAACTCCTCTTTTTATTAACGATCCCAGATGTAGTGCTGCTACTATTAGTATTATTATTATTAATAGAAGCTGATAAACAATTAGGATCAATTTCACGAAGTGATCGCATATAAATTGTATTTGCACGAGCACAAATAGAACGAGGTGCTATAACAGCACCAGGTGTAACAATATGCCGTAAATCGATTCTACCCAGTGGTGGATGTAAATGTTTTTTATTAACTGCATTGTTAGAATGTGCTCGTTGTTCATCTTCTGGATATCGCCAAAAATGTAGATAATCAGCTCGTAGCTGACACCAATACCTTTGCCATACACCCATTCCACCAATCTCTTCGAAAACAGTCTATAATGTAAAGTATTATTTTTAAAAAACTATTTTTTGCAACCTACCATAAAACCACGAGCTAATACTCTTGCTTCCAAACTAACAAAAGCATCAACAAGACCAGCAGTTCCAGCTAGTGGAGTAGAACGAGGTAAATGTAATAAACGTAGAGGTAAACGATTAGAATTCAATTCAGTTTTATTGATAGAAACACTTGAACAAGAAGAAGTGGGATGAGATTTATCATGCATTGAAGGATAAACGTAGCCAATCAATAAGTCATCATGATAAAGAATTTCAACAGTGGAAAGTAGGGAGAAAGCTAACAAAAAAGAAAAAACCGAAATATCTTAAATGAAAGTGGTTATTTTATATTATACATCGGAAAATAATGATGACAATACATTACGTACTTAAATGAGAATTAAAAGGTTAAACTGTAGCAGTGGTATTTCACAACAGAACAACGATCGCCAACCTTCAAATTTCGTAATGAAGCATTTTGACTATTATAATAATCATAGGACTGTATTGGTGAATTAACTATGTATTAATTATCGAAACCAGTATCTACTACTGGTCTTATGACAAGCATGATCCCAGCAAACGAATGAATTGAAATATTCAAAGATCCAACATTAAAAACTTTTGACCACCTGTGATGTAAAAACAGTCCAGTGTAACTGGTGATGAGTATCTTACACAAAATATAGTTGAACTCCATTGGTATCACGTGTTGTAGGCTAAGTGCCATGATTATTAATATCATTATTTAAACAGCTGGCTTGTGGAAACTTTATTTAAGTCACCTGGAGAACCAGGGAGCACTGAAAAGTTGTTTCGACCCTATTTGGGATTGACAATTGGGCACCAATGACTCGAAAACAAGACAAAAACCTAGAACCTTAATCTATTGTGGTAAGACACCTTTGAACTACAACTGCGTTGTGGAAATCCAATGATATAAATTTTTGAATTCAGTTAGTTTGTGATATCCAATGCAAACGAAATGGAACTGTGAAAATGATGAAATGAAAACGTTGTTCTGAACCACGTTTGGTTAAAACAACTATCCTCCTAAATGGGTAAAGTATGTCAAATTTTGCACCAATCAGAAGCAAAAAACAGGAACCAAATCTAAACACGCCGTTATGTTTGCAGGCTATTATCAGAACAAATTAAACAACAATGGAATGAGTTATCAATAAATATTGTCAGCCAACTTTTTTTTCATTTTTAGTCATTAATATTATTATTAGTAGTAGTATTGGTATTACATTATGTCATCCGAAAGTGGTTTAAAAAAATATTGTGCAGATATAGAAATAATACATTTTTAAATAATTCAACGAATTATAAAAACAAGTAGTATGACTTTGTGTACTCGGTATTGGGTTTTCCAGTTGGCCTAAGGCGAATTCAATCTACGAACGACTAAGGATTCTTTGAATACGATGTAAGGTATAGGAACTCGAACTGATCAGAAATCTGTCATATAACACTTCAACGTTAATACTCCACACGCTAATACAGATACAGAAGATTCTCAGGATAATTTTATATTCTGTACAGAACCCAAATTAAAAAACCGCTGTTTTTGTAGTATTAACCATTAACCTTGTGGTACATAATATTAGCAGATCAAAAGCGATAACATAAAATTATGTAACAGTAATTGAGATTTCAGAAATACCAACTATGAAAATGTCACTAAAGTTATTCTTTAAAGAACTAACATGTAGTAACAAAATCAACTAGATAACCCTGATTTCCCTCCTATTAACAAATATGAACAGTGGCCATAATAATGCATACATTACAAGCTAATGTAATCGAAGTAACTCGAAACCTTAATCCAGAGTTGTTTACTTGAATCCCTGTATCTACCGAAGAGCACTTTTTTAAAATATTAAACTGAAGTTATTGATAGGTGTGAAAAAAATAATAATAACAGCTGTGTTGTTTACAGGATATTCTCTTAAAATGTTAACTGTTCTATCAACAACAAATAACTAAGAAAATACAAATGACTTTAGAAAACTCTCTTTGCATAAGTAAACTGATATGACGAGATAAAGAAAGATGATATTATTTAGATTCATATTTTTTTTGAATCAATTCATGAAAAACTTCTGCCGGGGAGACAAATGTGATGCTTTAAGATTATTATTTTTGGAATCAAGTCAGTACAAACTGTACTCAATATGACAAGAGAATGAACTTTTACTCGGTGTGACAAGTACATTTCCTGTATTAATTCAGGTGAATTATATTCATTGTATGTTTTTACAGTGACTACATGTAATTCCTTCCTATTGTGTGTAAAAATGGTAGTATTCCAGTCTAATGACAATCTGATTTAAGGAGTTCTTTGGGAATGTTTTTTAGAGAGTTAATAAATTTTTATTGCATTAGCCTTGTGTTCCTACTCTGTGCTGTGAGAATCGCAGTGGTTCTTGAGACAATATATTAGATATGACAAAATGCGTGTCTAGTGACAAGGTAATAATAATAATAATAATAATTATTATTATTATTATTATTATTAGTAGTAGTAGTAGTAGTAGTAGTAGTAGTAGTAGTATTACTATTATTATTATAACGACGGTAATAATAGTGATGATAATGATAATAAAAAATATAATAACAATGATAGTAATAGTAAGTTGTAATAATAATAATAATAATAGTAGTAATAATAGTGATGATAATAATATGTGCAGATTGTTATCTCTGGCTGAATCCGTCAAGGAAACCCTGCTAAATAAACAAAACAACGACGTTCCTTTACTAATTAAACTACCGAAATGAATGTACATGAAGTAGGTCGCCAAGATAGTATGATGATGTAAGTGCATTGTCGTGCGTGTGACACCATAAGATCGGGATTAGTAAAAGTTAAAGGTAGGTTCCCAAAAGAGGAACGAAAAATTGTTGTCTATGAGATCAACTGTCATGATTGTAATTCAGCTTATATAAGAAAAACATCCGGACAATTGAATGTAAAGTTGAAGGAACACAAACAGTTTTAGAAAAATGTTCCCAAATCCTCGGTTGACCTAACGAAACTTGCGAATACGTTTGCGATAGCGTTACATGCGTTAAAAACAGGACATAAGATTAATTTTGAAGGGACCAAAATACTTCAGAAAGGTTTTAACACTTATAAAGAGAGATTGGCAACAAAAGCTCTGTATATATGGGTGAACAAGAACATTCTGAACTGAAAGGATGTTATTCAACTAGCGACTACTTGGCAAATATTCGATGACAAGTAATTGAACCCTTTATTTATTCAACCTCACATGCATCGTTATTTTGACTGGAACTAATGTGAGTTATTTTAAGCAATACAATTATTTATTTGATGATTCTCATTTTTACTTGCACATCGGTTATTCAGAAGCAATTTCGCAACCTACAACTTGTACTTTTATTTTTCCTTCATATAAAAACATATTAATACCGAATATCATTCATTAATAACCCAATCTTACACATACATACATAGACACACAATTTGTTCAGTCATTTATTTTCACATGATTCCCATGTAACTGTCTCATACAGTCGCCGCCTCTCGGGTTCCGACAGGCGCCCCCAAATGTCCTGGTACGGCCGAGAGTGGGGAGTCAGCTCTCCCTCTCCAAATGCTCTCACATGGCCACGCGTATACAACCACTTCCATGGAAGTCCTCGCGCCATTACTGTTGTTTAAGAAATTGAGAGGACGAAAAGCGAAACTCTGGCGCATTAACCGGGTTGGTGGACATGGAGAGTCCACCTAGGGGAGTTGGAAAACCCTGATTCAAAACCAATGGTGCACATAGGCTCCATTACCCTGTGGGAACAAGTGGCGTATGAACCAATTGTTGGTTACCGGCTACCATGGAACTGCATCTCCTGATGTTGTTCCACTGCCTTGTGGATCAGACCTTTAGGTCAAAGGCTCCAGGTGTGGCCCCCTAAGAAAACCACCAGCTTCGGTTTGGGCACCCGAGCAGAATCGCAGCCCTCACACAAATCAAATGAGATTTGTGTGGCGCATATGTATCTGGTGCCCCCTTGTACAAGTATTTATGTGTTTAAATAAATACTAAAATCAATATCCAAATATGATTGGATTAACACACTGTATAGATTTGATCTGATTTGATTGTTAAAAAGTCACATACTTCTTCGATGATTTTGATGATTACTTTGAAGAATTCCAAACAAGTTTGCAGGACGAAACTTTGAAATCATTCAAATTTCAATCACTGAGATTATTTCAAATATGAGTATGATGATTTATCTAAATATTTTGGACAATTATCACAACTAATAGTAAACAATAATATTGAAACATCAAAAAAAGGACATTTTCAGTAAACTCTAGACGAAATTATCACATTACAAAGTTATTACATATAACTGTGTGTTTTTTCGCAACAATCAGTTTACATATAATAAAATGAAAAGTTTAGTTTTATCAACAACAACAACAAAAACTAACCAGCAATTTTGTCACGTCCAATATTGTTTCCATGATCAATATCATAAGTTTTACTATGTGGTGTAGTTTTAAAGTAACTTGACGGTAGACAATGAGTTAAAATATGACTTGCTGATTCACAAGGAGTTAATTCAGTATTAGAAGTATGACCATATCGTGATTTTTTATGATTTGATGAAGGAACAGGTGATATTGAATTCTTTAAATGTAATAATTTATTTTGTGGAGTTTTAAAACTATTCATACTATCATTATCATTACTAATATCATCGCCATAAACTAATGATGTTCCAAGTATACGAGGTGAACCATATGCACAATTATTCATAGGTCTATCTGTTCCAGTACGCATACAGTAAATTTCTAATTGAAATACAAAATCTGGTCTAACTGGTACAATCTGTAAAGAAAGGATGATAATGAAAGGAACAATGAGAACTGAAAAAATGATTTTGCACAAAGATAACAATAAAATATACATGTAATTTACGCGAAATTCATATTATGCATATATCGAGGATTCAGTAAGTTTCAAGTGGAAAAGTTTAAGGAGTGAGGAGTTTGATTTCGAATGACTTAAAAGAGCTAATAAATATGCTTAGTTTCTGTTTCATACCTCCCTCGTATATAACACGGTACACTGAAACTGCTCTGCACTGTTCATTAGTTGCATCACAGTTTCGACAAGCCAATTACCAATAGTTTCAGCTTGAATGCCATATCATGAATAGCACCCTAAAATGTATTCGCAACTTTTTAACAAGTAATAAGTATGATATGATACTGTCTATTCTCTGTTTGTAAGAAATAGGTTTTATGACTATATTTCAGCCGTTTTATTACATTTCAGTTACTCAATCCACAGTATTTGGTGGAGCATTATGATAGAACCATTAAGTAGCCAATGATGAAATTTGAAGTCAATTTTAACTAAACATGTTGTTTAACAGCACAGAAAATATGTACTGACCTCTAGCTTTGCCGGCAAATCTACATAAGGAGCAGGTCGGTACATTCCCACAGGTAAGTCGCTCACATGCATTAAGGTAACTAGTTCACTATGATACAACCGACCTTCACCACGGCATCTAAAATACAAATATAAACGAAGTGTTAAAATGCTTGTGATAAATACATTGAATAATTACAACTAATTCTTAAGCAATTATCAGAAAATACAGAAGAAATATTATTGCAAATAGGTTTTAAGTGTCATATTATTTGTGACGATTAGAGATACAATATACTGTTACTTAGACTAGTAGACACATGGTAACTTGGCTGACAGAATTCAGTCATTACTAAAAGAACAAAACGAACATACTGATTACTATTCACTGGTTAATTAATTTATATATCTCAGCCATACAGTTGTGACCCGAATAACGTAATGGTAACGTCACAGATGGTGAAACTAGGTGAGTTGGGTTCGAACCCACCAATAAGCATCAGTTTCATCAAAATCACAGGTAAGCCTTGCTGACGAGTGTCGGCGAGCACGAAACCTAGGTTCAGGGTTTGTTGCAAACACTGCCTACAATCATTTAGCACAGGTAAAATAACTACCCTTACCAGAATAGGGGGATTTGTGGAGATAGTGGAATTTCCACAGCTTATATCACAAACTGATCTCAATTAGACCAACAGTGAAAACCTGGAAGCAATGGATGGTTGTTTCGTCCCAGAAGGAGATATAGCAGTGATTGTCATACGAGGTAGACAACTACTAAACATTGCGTAACCTACATCCCAAGATGTGTTACATACTACCCGATTCGCGTTAGAACTACAAATAAATACAATTAAGATGCTACACACTACTAACTAAGATAATAATAATAATAAACAATGAACGGATCTTACTTTATAATACCAATTAAATGATAACATGTCGGTTGGCCTAATTGATTGTCAGGACGAGATTTTAAAGTAGGAACATTCCAACCACCAGCTTCTCGTCCAGTACCAACAACAACATAGCCACCTCCACTTGTAGGATCATTCGGTATGTTAGATGTTTTAAGAGATAAACGAATAGCGTTTAGTTTCATACGAGCACGTATAGGATCACCGCGTGTAGGTGGTACAAGAACTGGAGAGCCTCTATGTAATAATGCAAGTTCTTCCATTAATACTTGACGACGCTGACCTATAAGTAAATATATAGGAAATCATGTTGAATTTAAGATGTTTAATCTAACTCATTCATCAGGTACTTGGATATTAATTAAATGATACCACCTAGTTGCCAAAACTTAAGTGGAGCTGCGTTCGAACATGGAACTTCCTAGCTAACATATAGTATAAAAAAAGTTATAAAAAACTTACAAGCTATCAGCATCGTTCTGCTAGCTTCTACATGAACCCGAGAACCTGGACCCAATTCACGTATTCTGTCAAAGTCTTCAGGACTTTTACGAAAAGGAATACTGACACACTGTTGTAGTGCTGCACTGGCCTGTAAAATAACCACACGTTCCGCTTGTATCAATTTCGGTAAGTCGTTCAATCTTCGAATACGTCGTTCAGCCTCGGATAGTGGTAGAACTGGAGATATACGGTTATTAACTATGAAAAAAAGGAAAATATGTTAGAAATAACGCTACCATAGAGATATGTTGAAAACACAACGAAACCATCTTACGAAAATACATTAAACGAAGTCAATCAGTTGGTCATACGTAATGAAAAAAACGGGCACATGAGTGTGTTGGTTGAAGTTGTGAGATGAAATTGTCAAAACGAATCAAATAGTAGAGGTAATAACAGTGCTAATGGTAATAGGAAAGATTAGGTAACGAAGATACGGTTCGAAAAAAGGATTAGTGGAATAAATAAACAATTTATGAATCCGTCTGGAAACTTGAAATCTAAGAGAAGACAAAAATGGATGTTCCTGAATCATTGCAAAAGACTTCGAACCATGTTACCTAAAGTCTCTAACGATTGGTTGCGATAGTCAAATACACCGAAATCAAGTAATCTAAACCTATTAACATGGGTCGATCCGACAGTCAATGGATTTCAAAGAGAGCAAAAACAAAAATTGGTGGTCAATGTATTCATTGACTGATGCCATATTTTAATTTGGCCACCCCTGATTCCCAATTTACTCCTACACTAGCCATCAATCTATGTCGAAGTAGGTGGTGGTGAATAAGAATACGTAATAGATGTTCTGACCATCTCAGTTGATAAAAATTCACTACCTCATCAATCGACTTATCATCCGTACCTGACGCTGCATCTTACCTCAGGATTGATAACTCGATGGTTACAATACATACGAGCAATGTTTTGAGCGCATCTATCAAACAAAGTTTGGAAAAATGAAAGAAATAAGATAACTATTTGATGATGAATAGGATAGATTCGGGTGCTTGTGAAGTGTCTGAGCCGTAAACACTTACAACATCAGGATTCCAAGATATTCCTTAGTTACACCAGAGTATCTTTTATTAATCACCAAGAGATTAATTTTTTTATTTCTCCCATTATTTTATTCTTATTGTAATCTTTTTTTCATTTGACTTACATTCTTATGCACAAACGTTTCTCTGATAACTTGAACTTACAAAGTCATTTTTAATCTCATCATCATCATCATCTAGAACCTACATATCCCAATTTTTGTTGCGAAAATATAAAATAAAGTCCTGAACTGGATACCAAACAAAAATCTACTGTAGGCTATTTTAATTACATAACTAATCGAGATTATAATCACAAAGAATTATCATCTAACCATGCTTATAATTTGAAATAATTAATCATTTGAAATTAATTTTCGAAGAGGAAATTTTAGTAAGAAAATGGAGGTATTTTACGAAAACCAATTTCATTTACCATGTCTGGTTGCTCAGTTCTATTATTAATCTGAAAAAATATTGAGGTGATGTCCACTGAGCAAATAATTCTTAAGATAGCAGTTCGAAGATTTTTCAAAAGAAAAAGTAACCGGATGCCAACTATTATGATAAGCAGTCCTCAAACTATTGTTATATTATGTCATTTCAGAGAATCCATTATTACTGAATTATATTTTACAATAACATCAACTACCATATATCTCTATGATTCAATAACTAGATATGACTGAGCAACACAGTTAGTGTAATATGCTCGATCTGACAGCTTGGATCGATGCACATATGTACTACGTACTACATAAGCTATGACAAGTCGACAGCACTGTTGAATATCAGAGGCTACCAAAACCCACCCATCTGTCCCCGATCATTCCTTATATATATGGCAGAACGATGAATTGAATCAAAAAGCTGATGATGACCACTGATGACCAACACTGACTCGATCCCAATAGAGTAGAGTATATAATAATATACGTTAAGACTACTCACTTTATATAAAACTAACGACACCAATAATCCCACCAAACTAATTAATAATAATCTATATGTCATATAGAAACCTCAACTGAAAAACAGTTAAAGTCTGAACTCCATGCAAAAGTAGTGCACGTACAATCTCACATTTATGCTCAGTCTTAACAATCATCCTAGTTTTTTTTTCCTTTGTTCATTTTATTTAGCATTCAGTTGCTATTACTCCGCCATCTAAATTGTCAGTATCATTTCCATTTTTTTCATTTCTAGCAACTAGTCTAATTATTTCTCTCAGATTTATCTGAACCGCAAAAATAATGAAAGCTTAATGATCGGAAGGAATAAATTAATAAATATGAAATATTGTAAGAGTGTAATAATAGCTGGTTACGGATTAAGAAAAAATTAAGACAGTAAAAAGAATATAATAAAAAACGAAACCGAAATATACTGAAAGGGATATTAGGGCCACAGAAGAATGAGAGAGACTGAACGTACTGTTTTTGCATGTAGAGTTCAGGCTTGAATAGGTGAACTGCCAATGTCTCAACAGTTCACACGTTTTTGATTCATTCATTTGACTATTTAAATAAATTAGAAGGACGATTCAGGTGGAATAACGTTACCAGAGTTAATGAGATGCTCCTGTATTGGGTTGTACCGATCGTTTTATATTCTCCGTTTAAAATCAAAGCCAGGTAATGCTCTGAGATGTGTTCACTTTTTGAATGACTAATGTAACCTGGACCTGCAAGAGCAAATAAACTTATGGATGAAATCTCTCTTGTCCTTCTGTGACCGTAATATACCTGCCAGTATATTTTCTGTGTTTTTATCATGGTATCTCACATTTTAATCCGAAATAAAGAGATCTTTGAGAAAAGAATAAATTACTTATTAGTGTATGGGGGTGTGGAAATTGTCTAGATTTCATAGTCTGAATCACAAACTAATCAAAGCTAAACTACCACTAAAAACCTAGAAGCACTGGACAGTAGTTTCGTTTTAGTAAGTGATTTATTAGCTGTATTCGATTCCCAGATGAGGGGTCATGAATGCTCACTGTTGAGTCCCCTAATGGGACGAAATACGTTCAGTCTTTACGGGTTTCCGATGGTGGTTTTGATAAGATCAATTCGTGATTTAAACTATGAAAATAAAGTACTTAGCTAAAAAGCTTAGTAATTTGAAGAAACAAACAAGCACACAATGAATAAAATTATATCACAACTCACTCAATAAATCACTATCATCTTTTGAAAAATATGGTTGATGGTAACGATGATCAGGATGATTCTCTTTATTATTACTTTGATCTTGTGAAGATAAACTGGATAATTCATTATTTAATTCATCACTTGGAATTATAGTATCCAAAAAATCAGACAACTCAGAATCACCAACACCTGGAAAACATGGAAACAGATTGTTGAAAAAATATGCGCTCCGCTCCTTTGTCGTCATCTATTTTACCCGAATTTGTGTTTACAATTTGTATTGTTTACAAGGCTTATATTTATTTCCCATCTCATTTGTCACGCCGTACCTCTCTAATTTGTGCGGCGTTGCCAGCCCTGAGGTTAATTAAACCTCACAAAGCAATCACGTCAAGTCTAAGTTTCAAACAATGGATCAAACTTGTAATACAGTAATTAACAATTCTATCAACTCATAAGATATTTTTAACCACAAAAGTAGAGATTGAGATGGCATGAGAATAATGAAGTCAAATTCATCAATTATTAGACTATGTACACGGTTGAATAATACGGTTAACAATGTGTTTAGACCAAAGAAAAAAGTGACCTCAAAATTATTAAATTATGCCGCACAAGCATTTGACTATTTGTAAACTAAACTAAATAAATGACTAGATAACTATGCAGTTTCTAAAAGTAAACTGAGGCCTAGTAGGTGCAGCGGAGTTTAAAATACATCGTGACTCATTTGTCAGAAATCAACGGCTTAAATCACTAAAGGTCAAATTGACTACGGGTTCCAATAAATTTTGCTCTCCGTGATCTAAGCACACGGACAATATTGTCAGTATTTATACAAAAACTTTTAGAAAATAACATCAATTATGATGTATCAGCACAATAATGATTTGCTTACTTTCGGAATCCATTTTTTGTGTTATTTTATCCTCATGTTTTTCTCGTTCTGGTAAATATTCATATTGACTGGAGAACTCTGAAGATGTTGGACAATCTTCATCATCATCATCATAGTTGAAGTCAGTTTCACTTTCATCTGTAATATCAGAAGTGGTCCTTTGAAATGTAACTGATTTTTGTCTCGGAATAATTTGATGGAAGGTATCAACTGAGCTTTCCGAAAATGATGATCGACGTTTAACACCAATTTTAGGACGTGAATAATAGGGATGTGCAATGGCTGTCAACAAAATGAAATAAAGTGGGATTTTAGAGCCTTATTAGTGAGAAAGTTAACAGTTTAACTGATAGATGGATAAGAATCATCTGGGATCGGACACATATAGCACATAATTTCATACAAATGAACGATTCAAGTTTCCCGACTTTACATCAATACAAAAGGAGATTGAGTAGTCAAGAACGATTAACTCCGATAGTAGTGGTAAACAGAATACTAAAAAATGTTTATGAACTAGAAAACGATGAAGGATGAAAGGGACTGAATTATTGTCAGCTATATCCTTTACTATTGGTAATTACTAGTTTTCTTAACCCTGAAAGCCTTACAGTAATGGACCATACTCTGTCGCATATGGCTCCGAATAATAGAAAATAACTTAGTAGTATAATTCCACATCATGATGTGATTATGTTTAACCTTTGTAAAACCGTTTCTAATAGAGAGCCCATGTAGGTAATAAGTTGAGGAAATGATTCCTAGAAATAAGCTCACTTATCAGCTCGCTGAGCTAAGACCATGTGTAATACTTGTTCTTTGCAGTATAATTTCTGCAACGGTTTCTAAACTAAGATTAAAGAAGCTACCTATATTTCCTCCTCCTGCTTTGAATTTTCTTAACCTCGTTCGCTGGTTTGCCTTGTAATGCGAATACTGGAATTGATCTCCTCCAAGGAGATTCAGTTGTTAATTTATAACACGCAGATGATATAGTCCTGTATCGAGAAAACATTAAATGAAATCTCTAAACCCACTTAGGAAACAGTGCAAGCATGTTTTAAGATAGGTTTTACTCTAAAACCAAAATGTTGATTCGGAACTAGTGTGTCAACCTCTAAACTAACTATAAGGAATTGAGTAGTTAAAAGTCGGTTACTTTACCTATCTTGGAAGTCTTATCAGGCATGATGGGTCGACGTCCGACTAAATGACACGAACTCGGAAAGAAAGTTTAGTTTTCGCCATCTTGGACCACTTTTGGCGTAGGTAAGATATCTGTCTACTAACCAAAGGACGAATATACTATGCAGAAGTCCTCTACATTCTACTTTATGTGTGAAACGTGCTCTTTAAAGATAGACATTCGTAGGTTATTTATACTCGATTATAAATGCGTTCAAATTATTCCCCGTATATGTTGGGACCACCCAGTTGGTAATTTTGAGATTAGATGGAAGATACCGGGTAAAGATGGCAAATCGACTGATGAAATAATAAATACTTATCAACTGAGATGGTTAACATGTATTGCATGTGCCCATCCACCGCCTACCTTGATGGGCGATGATGACGGGTAGCCACATAATTCGAAGTGAAGTAGAGTCTAAGTTTATGTTGAATAGATTGAAAGTGTGTGTAATTTAGTAAGCGACAACTTTACGTTAGCTTTTAATTCTAGAATCTTATCATAGTATTTCTCGAAAATAATAGGGAAAACGTTAGTTGGTAATTATAATAAAACTATTACTTATACTTGTAATAATTATCAGTTTTAGGTAATATACTGATAAATGAGGCCCATTCACTAATAAAGCAAATAGCACACAGTGACCATCTTACATGAGATCTAGTAAAGTCACACGTGAATTTTATCTGTGTATAATGACCATGACCTTTAAACAGACGTTTGAAAGTTTAGTAGAACATCATTCGTAATTCGAATCAGGATTAAGGCAAAGACCTCAATAGGAGAGACAAATGGTGTGTAGTTGAAATTTTCAACACAATGAAAGACCGTTTTGATTCTATAAATAAAATTAATAAGAAAAAGTGGAAGATACTTGGTCGTAACAGGGGCTATCATGTTTTATGAAAGTATGAGGAAGATAAATAGGTCATGAAGATTGATTTACATCCTTTAAGTTACTATTCTGAAGTGGATCTAATTGCTACAGTCTGAACGAATTTCACTTATTTACTATGTTCACGTGTTTATGCAGTAGACTTTGAGTTAAACCATTTGTGAAGACTAATGGTACTACCCGTATTTTAAAACAGAAAGGAGTGGATTAGGGTTCGTACCTGTGATATACCAGTTAAAAGTCAAATACTTAAACTTCTAAGCCACAACCCCACAGAAACTGATCACAACTCTGTGTATGGACGTGTACATAATAACTTCAGCTATATCATCACATAACAGTTGGATAATTCAACAAATTCATTTGAACAGAAACAAAGATTTGATCTAAACATGATTTTATCAATAAATAAAAATTTGAAATTACTTGGAGTTGTTGATATAGTTGTTTGCATAATTTCTTCCAACTCTGTTTGATTTACATTCGTTGAATTGACATTATGAATATTTGGGGATTGTGTATTACTAATGAAAGTGTTGCTGCTTGAAAAATCAGCTTCACTAAGTTCCATATCCTAATATCAATGAATAACACAGAAGAAATACGATAGAATATTGCATGGAACAAAATTAATTTATTTTATATTTCGTATCATTCAATCCAGGAGATCGTTAAAGCGCAATATTCGATTACTTAAAAACAGAAAATATACATTAAATATATTTTTGTTCCGTAATATCGTACAATAAAGTAATTCATTTACCAAACACATGTTTATGAACTTGACTTTGAGTCACATTATTTGTGTGATACTACTTGACAGTTCAGATTAAAGTACGTGAATTGAAGCAACAACTTGAGTTTATTAAATTTAACCAAGTATATATGCGAATAACTCTTTAGTTGAATCCCTAACTAAAAGGAAGTTTGTTAAATACCTATCATTATTTATGTATCTTTTATTGGGATATTTGCCCACAAAAAATGGTAGAATATATTACAAAAAGTAATTGATTTAGGAATGACTGTACCAATATGTCAAACAATTCCCGCAATTTACAAAGTCCTGCTAAAATTTATGGAAATGATGAAGTTTGGACTAGAAACGCAGTATGAATGGATTTTTTCTCAACATCTTATGATTCTTCACTCATTTTCCTTCATCAACTCATTCATGTTATGTTATGTGAGTAGTCCATCGCTTTTGTCGATTTCCTGTTTGTCCACCACCATTGTGAAGTGTATCAATCCTGTTCAACTGTTTACATCTGCTTATTGTAAAAGAGTGAAAGCACAAAGACTAGTTGAAAGTACTTAATAGGTTGTTAATTACAAACTCAGTCCTACCCAAAATAAAAACGTAAACAACATAGAAATGTGTCACAAAGTAACTGACAACGTGAATAAAGCGATCTTACATATACCTTTGGAGGACTGGGATGCGGGACAGTAGCATCATCACACATTACAACTTCCGTTAAAACAGGCTGACAGTTGTCGCAGGGAGTATTGTGGGGCGAAGTAACTAGTGGATTCTCAATTGCTGAAATATTTGGGGGTGATGGAGGGGGTGGTAACAAGAAATCATCCTCCTGTAAAAGAGAAAGCGCTGGAGTTGTTATTGTAGAGACAAATCAAAACGAAAAATGTTGCCAAGTATACAGGAGCAACAGTCCTTTTTAATGCTTATAATAACTCCTCTCAAAATTCCTACATTTCTCTTATCAATAAAAAAGCAAAACTATTGACTACCAGAAGAACTATCGGTTCACATACTTCACCTTTGAGGCGCAGACAAATCTCGGCCTGATAAAACCAAGCGAGTCCTATTTATGTGTTCATGGGGAACAACGCACTATTGCTGTCAAACTAAGGAGGTAGATAAAACGGTAGATTCCCTCAATTATTTTGATTCATACCGTTAAACTAGACAATAATAAAGATAAAACCTAAAATGCCACTTCGTGTTTTAAAATGGGATGAACGGACCAGATTTAAACATTAGTACGCTCCCGATCAATGTGTTTGAAGAACTTTGTTTTGCCACCATCTTCGACAAGTAAAACTACATCTCCATAATCAAAGTCAATGAGAAAAACATTAAATAAGTTCCTGAGGAGTTGGGCATAGTGTTACTCGTAGAAATACAAACATGAGTTTGAATCGAAATGGGGAAGGTAAACAACTTTAACAAACACCATTCGGAGAAAGTGAGCAATGTGTATGTTAACAATAAATTAATTTTACTGTTTTAAAATGTAAAAATTTCAGAAGTCTGTTTTAAATTATGCGTCAATTTACAAAGAATATGCAGTAAATGGATCAGATTTGTATCAGTGAAGCTACATATCACTAGTTTAAAATACGAATTGTGCTCACAAACCTGTTTTGAAGCAAAACTGGATGAAACTTTTTCCGGTTCTAAATCATGAGGGTCTGCAGAAGATACTGAACCTAAATTAGGAGTTGGTATAACTGGTCGACGGGATCGGCGTAATTCAGCCAGCTCTCGCATTCGCTCAAGCCTTTCTCTTTCAGCATGACTTAAACTTCCCCTGGGGACGTCAGCCTTGGTACATGTGACGGAAGTAAGAACTTTTTCTCTAGTAACCTGACCTGATTGAATTTTGGGTGCCACAGATTGTTGAATTAATGAAGGCTAGAAGAATAAGTAAGAAAAAACATCAATTAAAAAACACCATAATTTGTATAGAAACGTTTGGTGAATGTTGGCTATTTCAGTGAACAAATTCATAGAAGAAATAGGACGAACCAAAGGTCTTGAACAATCTGCTCTGTGTACTTTGGAACAAGCAACTGTTACACATTAACCACTTCGCATAATAGAGAAGAAAAACTTGCAAAAAACTGGTGACCATAGGTAGGTTCATAATAGTAAGTATTAATAAGGCAATTTATAAAAATAAATTGGTAGATGACGCCCAAGTAAAGGGATGAACGCTCTAAAAGTTACAAATGGACCAGTGGTCTAATGATTAAGAGGTTCAACCTTCAGCCACCGGATCGTGAACTTTGAACCCTTTCAAAATACCTCAACTGGACAACCAATAGTTTTGTGGAGTGATAACAGGTCTTAACACGACAATCACTAATCTTGTCCTAACCTAATATATGTGAATTAGAATACCTCGGCGTGTAACATTTTAGAATCCGCTTTTATTAATGATTATACCGTGAAGCTTTAGTGGAACAGTAAACTGCTTACATTGAAGTGTAGTGGTAGCTTGATCACCACAACTATTCTAAATATTAGATTACAAGTTTGACCACCCGAGAAGTATAGTCGTCTCTTGCACAAAACATTTGATCCAGAGTCAAATGCGCACTTGCATACTACCCGGTAGTCAGCAGAATAGCATGGACGGTCGTCCAAGTTTACGACTCAAAGGTTAGAGGCTAAACTACCAAACCCCTGAGCTTCAAAGCTAAGCCTCGAAAGAAACGGATCGATACTACGCAAACAAAACACATGAGGATATTTATACCTACACGCCAATTGCCCCCAAATGCTTTGGTACGGTCAAAGGTGTGGAGAGTCCGCTCTCCCTCACGAAACGCTCTCACATGACTACATGTATACAACCACTTCCATGTAAGTCCTACTCACCGCCTTTTCGCGCCATTACTGTTAAGAAATTGAGAGGACGAACAGCGAACGTCCAGCGCTTTAACCGGGTTGGTGGACCCTAGGGGAGTTGGCAAACCTAATTGGAAACCAGTAGTGCACATGGGCTCCAATATCCTGTAGGAACAAAAGACGTATGAACCAAATATTGGTCACCAGCTACCATGGGACGGCATCTCCTGATGTTGTTCCACTGCCTTTTGGATCAGACCTTTAGGTCGAAGGCTCTGAGTGTGGCCTCCAAAAAAAACCACCCGCTTCAGTCTGGGCACCCGTGTAGTATCACAGCCTACACACAAATCAAGTTAAATGACAATTACTACTGGAAACACTATTCTTGCTTCAACTAAAATTCAGACAATTCACATCCATTTTTTTATATACATCGTTTATCTATTCCTTTCTACTCTCAATTTGTGTATCCTTACTTTATAACTTATACAGCAGCTCGCCTATGGTGAAAACCCTGTTATATCTAGACGATCTCAAGTCACTGATTGGTCGAAATTGAATGCTATCACCGAATACGAACACTGAAACAGTCTTTCTGAAACCAAGCATGACATTCAAACTGGCTTCCTTCAACGTTCGCATACCAATGAAGATCAGACAACAGGTTTGGCTATACATTTAAACTTAATATCGGCGCCTGTTGTCTATCCGGGATCCGTATTCAAGATTAGTGAATAATTACCAATTCGCTCTCCATCTGTCGCTTTGAAAAGCTTGTTACACCCATGTTTATCCGGGGACTAAGCGCTAAAGCTGAGGCAGCACTGGTCGATTGGATCCCCAATAACAGTCGGTTATGTGCTTTTAGGTTGGAAAGTTCAATCAAAGTGAGAAATCGGTGTCCGAAACGATGTCTTCTAGTCATCTCCGCTTATTTCCCGACAGATTGCAGCCCGGATGTGATCAAGAATGATTTTTACCACCAATAATCTTTTTCTACAGAAAGCGCATTCAACAGATATTGCGATACTAGTCGGAGACTTGAATGTTCAGGTCGGACGTCTAGGCACAGAGGGGATTCGTTTAGATGGCTGATGAGGACTTGTTGGTCACATCAGGTGACAGGTACCGTCTGCTTCAACTGTGTGCAGACCAGAACCTGTTTCTGGTTAACACAGTCATCGCCGATGTGACACCTGATGTCCTCTTTCTGCATCGCTAGCCTGAACTCATTGATCACATCATTACCTGAGTAGTACTCTGTTTATTACTGCCAAAAAGAATTCTTTCAGTTAAAGAAGTTACGTCCATTTTTTGTTAGGAAAGTAAGAGGAAGTTACAGCAGGATCGCCACTGGCTTGTATTCTGAGCCATATCTAATAAGGTCTCTAGCCACTGTTGCACTATTTCTAGGATCCTAACCAAAGAGTCGTGAAGGACCAACAGAAGACAGTCCTGTACACCATTCTTCCATACCACGACACCATATGATACACTGACCACCTTTCCGCTTTTCCCAACCAGTCCCAGCATTAACAAATAATGCACGACGTGGGATTCTCTGAGACGACATTCGTAGAACATGTTCAAGTCAAAGAAGTAGATGGTGCAAGAGAGTGACACTAATTGAATTATCGTCGCTGTGCCCAAACACACGATGCCGAACCTCTGCATTACTAACATGGTGTTGCCACTGGATATCAGCAACCCTTCAGAGACAACGATGATCAAACACAGAGTTATTTAACATCCTGAACTCGGGGAAACTAGGTTTCACTAACAGTGAGTAGAACTGCTCTCACCGACGCGTTGTAGATCCTACCTCTTACAGCGCTTTGATGGTTGGAGTTCCTTGCGGACTTCCGCCTCCTTTGGTGGATCAGTCGTCACAGGCTGTGGAGGGCAGGACAGTCTGATCGATATTGCTGTGGCAGCAAACCAGTTGAACTGCTCCTCGAAAAACTCTGCTCATCGTCCAAGAAGACGATAGGTGTTAGTGATTGGTATCCCGTCATCCTCACAGATTATTTCGCTCAAACGAGACTTCTTGGTGCCAGTGGCTCGGATAAGTTAAAAGAGCTTCCGGTAGCTACCAGAAGCAGCTGCTGCTCTAAACTGACTAGCACGCTCCGATCATTAGGCTTCTCGGTCCTCACGCAATTTCATTACGTAACAGTCGCCGTTTGTGGTCAAACTCACGGCCCCCCGGAGTAGACCGACGGGCTTCAATGAGTTGTAAGGAACCCAGTGCTTATAAGTGAGACGTTTCACGGAGTCGCAAGCAACTTTTCATGGCGTCATGCAACTGCAATCAATACTCATCTGTATTTCTCGGTAGAACGGTAGCTAGCCCTTGAACCTAGCTCAGTTTGATATTTAGTTGTAACAGAAGCTGCAACCGATTTGCTGACACCAATCCGTTTAAGACGATGAATTTGCTAGGTATTGAAAAGTAGGGTAAGATTAGCGCAAACAAGCGCATGATCAGAGTTCAGATAAGTACTCCATTAATTTCTGTTCGTTATTGTTCTTTTTCTTGTACACACTTTAAATTCTCTTCACCTTTTCATTGTTATTGCGTGGCGCATATGTATTTGATGCCTCTCTATACCAATTTTCGTGTTCAGATAGAAAATATACCAATTAGGATTAGCAGATAATTCAGATGTGATCAATCTAAAACTCCACAAACAATAATAACCAGATTACTGCCCAGGTAATGACCCTTAACCATAAGTTAGCAAGCCTTAGTCAGTGGATCAACTACACTTTACTAACTAAAGAGCACGTATTACTCTAAACATGAAATCCTGGGTTGGATTACAACTATTTAAGTCATGATAATGGAAATGTTTAAACAAGCCCCATCCCTTCCACACAGATAGAAGGCACTGTCCAAATTCCTCCCTGAATTAATATCCAAAAGGTTACCAATAAAATGTGGTATATTGGCCAATTACGTGATAACGACTAAGCCAGTGGCTCATAATACTGGACTGTCATGAAGATGCTAAAGCAATTAAAAATACTCAAATGGGTAATCAGTGATAAAACTACGACAATAACACGAAAAATGTTAGTATAACTGTCCGTATCATATTGAATATGAACATATTGTATGTGAAGATAATTCACGAAGCGGTAGGAATTGGAATGACTCGATAGATTGGCAAATGGTATTAGGGAAAAAATGAACTTTCAGACGTCACACTGTTGTACAACCTGTGAAACCTTTATCGATATCCATTACAAAAGAACGAAGCTAGACATTAAATGTTTTTTGGTTTGCGAAAAATATACTCCGCTGATAACATATGTGGCGGGTTTTATTTAGAATGTTTGCATTTGCATAAAAATCACATATGAACAGTGGGTATCAAGTTTCAGAATACCGTAAAAACTGATGGGCGAGAAAACTACTTACAGCTTTATTTGTATCACCAACTACAGTATGTTCAGTGTGACGTGAGCCATCATTCATTAAACGCTCCCATCGAGCCTTCCTTGCAAAGACGGGTAGATTGTGGTGATCAGCTAGGCTATCCTACGACAAATCTCGCTCACTAACAAAATGACATACTCTGTTATACTTGACAGCTGAATTTCTAATAGATTTCTCTGGTTCTTTATGTAAGGGAATGCGTCTCAGGTCATCTTCCCATGATGCAATCTTAAAAACCGGGTAATTATACTACAATGAAATACCTCTTTAGCCAAATCTGCTAGTTTTGACTTTGTCTTCTTTATTTCCATCCTATCTGGAGAACTGCATAAAAACAAGCTGAAGCAAAAAGCAAGATCCAAACCTCATTTTTCGTAATCCTTATGGCCCGCCTGCTACACAGAGTTACAATTCGCTACGTTGAAACAAATTGTCATGCTGAAAGACGACAGACAGGAAGTGTAATTAGAGATTACCGTATACATTTTCAGTTTTTAGAATAATCTTATCACAACAGTGTCAAGATAACATATATACTGATGAGGTTTTCAAAGCAGTGCCATGTCACGGCAGGTTACTTCAGTACTGTCTTTATTTATGAACCGCATCCCGAAGTATGACTGACTCCAGAAACATCATCTCGAAATTGACTAACCACTATAGGCCCCAGCCGAGAAGACGCACCAATGTTACTAAGCCCTATATATGCAAAAAAATCATTGAGTGAATAATACTTCATGTTGCCGAGGTAAATTCTGTTTTACTTTGGAACGGACAGGAAGCTAGATGGCCTATGTTAGTCCTGGTAATGGTGGTTTTTCAATTGATTCAACTTTCTTCTAAAATATCGACAGTTTGAGCTTCAATCACATGTTGAGTTAATTAATTCCATTCGTTGATGATTCGATAGGAAAGTCAATAGTCATGTGACAAGTAATTTGTTCTGTGATTACGAACCTTTTTGGAGTGTCCTAGTGAATCTTCTGTTTAGGAAAACAAGAGAAGTGATGGTAAATCAGATACAAATTTACCACTAACTAATCTAAAACTGTGTTCAAGTCGCCTGTTGTTCTTCTATATGACAATAGAAATAAGTTTATTTTAGCCAGTCGTCCATCATGCGGGAAACTTACCATCCCGAGACTCAGCTTAATGCAATTCTCTGAACCTTTTCCAACAACTCGCTGTCATTTTTTGTCAGAGGCTAACCACGTGTATGCAGAACTCGAGTTCAAGACGAATGAATACTGTCTACAAAATCAAAAGATTTTTTTAGATTCAACATAGCTAAAGGCACTATGTATTGACCATAGGGTTCCAAAATCTTTGTCATCCATCGTACGGCAGTGTTCAGTAGTTTTTAAGTTTTGATTAACGATTATTTCTAGGCCATTGTGTGTCTGGGCAACTGGTAGCTCAGTGTTATTTATGCATGTATCTGTACCTTGGTGACCAAGATGCATCATAATACAATTGGAAGCATTTACCGGCGACGGCCAAATCATAGACCAGTCACATACTCTCCGTAAGTAAGTTTGAATTTCTAAACTATCATCTTTATATTTTATCACTTTCTATATCTTAACATAGTAAGCATATAGCGAAATCGATGATGATAAGAGACTAGGAAAGTCATTTACACACAGGAAGAACAACATTGTCCCCAAACCTGTACCCTGAAACACTCCGCCCATCATGGTTTCCCACATAGACAACTTGAAGTCCACCCGCACTCTTTTTTATGCCCAACTAGGAAGTCCTTTATCCACATTATTGAATTGCCTCCAATCCCGATATTACATAACTTGCATAACAACCAGTTGTTAGGAACTTTGTCAAAAGCTTTGCTAGAACCAATAAAGGATAAGTCTATAGGCAACGTTTGATCTTTATGAGTGCACCAACTTTCACTAGTTACTAATAGGTTTGTAGAGTGGTGTCGAGTCGAAATTGACTATGAACACCGCTACAGAGAAACACGTGCCAAATAAATCCATAAAATCCCCCGGAAGCCAAATATCAGAAGGCAGTTAATGGACCAAGTCGAGATATATTTGCTGGCGATCTCGTGGTATCGAAAGAATACAGAGATCGTGCCAGGATACAAGCTTGGTTACAGAGCGTAACCGAATTCGCGCGAGTTCACAATCAAAGTGTGTGAATAATGGATGGTTCTTAGCACAGTTAAACAAAGATAACATTAAACAGCCACTGGTACAATTGGTTATAATAATAATTGTTTTCAATAAACCGATCGTGTTCTCGTGATAAAAGTAAGTCACGACAAGTTAATGAGACATGAATAACCCTTGCTAAAACAATGCTGCTTTTCAGACAGAATCTGGTTTTCGCGGAGATACCTAAAAGACTTCCGAATATTTTCTAAAATTTTAAAAACCACACTGGTTTGGCCTACGGGTCAATAGTTTCCGGGTTTATACCTCATACTTGTTTTGAAGATAGGAACTTTTACAGCATTCTTCCAGTCTTTTAGTGGTCCAACCCGGGCTACAGATAAATTAAAACATGTGCTTAAGAGATTATCGACGAAATCTGCTGATTTCGTTCATAACCTAAGATGCATTTCACCGGGTCCTATAGATTTGCCCATACCAATTTCATTTAGTGGGCCAACGACATCAAGTTCCTTGACGGTCACAGTATCCAGTGTATGTGCGGTTGGGTTCGTATGGACTGAAGAGGAGAGCACCTCTATTTTACATACATTTCTTGAGTATTTGGAAAATATATGGGCTATAGCATAATTGTCCTAGAATATTGATGCATTGCTACGGTCTTCCTACAACGCTGAAGTGTTTTCTTTTCTCTTAGTCCTTTGGTCTATGTGCGAGTGTGTCTAAGTAATCTATAGATTCCCTAACAAGTCGCTCTTTGTATAACTTCCTAAAGTCGCGGGGGATCGAGGTACAAATATTTCAAGCTTCTCGATATTAAAATTTCGTCAATAGATCACTCTCACATTCTTATTCTCTTCCGGAAAAGGGTGTGAACCACTTTACTGAACCACATTGAGACTATTTCCGACTCCTTAGTGTATTGCAAGGGATGTGCGATGCAGTGACTTCCATATACAAATTTCTGAAAACAACCCCAGCCATTACTATGAGGGATTCTGGTTCTGTGATCAACCTACAGAGGATGGTGAGTGTATAATATTTTGCATGTTCGCCTTCCAGACATTCGGTCTGACTTGGAAATCAAAGACCAGAACTGCATGGTCACTTTTGCTTAGGAGTGGCACTTAATCGAGGTTTATGACATCATCCTCATAATGGGTTAACATGAGACCATGTAAGGATGATTCAAAATCCGGGGTGCTTCTTTCACATGTTGCACTAAGGCACATGCGATAACCGCATCAACTGGTCTCTGTTCGAAAGAATTCTCTGACAATTCATTCATCAGATTTTTCCAGCCTACCATAGGTGAATTAAAGTTTCCTAAGATTAGGCATCGATCATTTGGTGACTAAGTGTTGTTGCAATAGACAGTGCTGTTCCACTCATTATGATATTTATTATCACACTTAACCAGGATGATCTGAGGGATTTAAGGGATTTGACTTATTACAATTCGTAAACAAGGTCGAGTTAAATGCTAAAAACAATAAACCTTTTAATTTCATGGGTGTCGTACAATATTTTTTTATTGCGTTGGTTGTGAGATATCATAGATCTAAAAGGGGTGGACACCAAGAAGTAAGAAATACCATTATAAGCCGGTGGATAAAGGCAAGGTTTAATTTATTGCGCCTGATCTATAGAGGTTCTAACTTGAATTGTTGACATATTTGGTGATAATCCTAGTTGTCGGGATACCCTGGAACTGCTTTAGTGAAACTTCTTCAAACACCAGTTTTCATCAAGTCATTACGCCTACAACTACTATAAACTAATATGCTATATTCAATGATGGATATGATAACTTTTTGTGTACTAATGATATCGATTCGATTTTATTGAAATTTATCATTATGAATCCAATGAGCTTTCTTGCTTTGTTACTTGAAGTGCAGTGTGCTTGAAAAAGTCCAAGTTGTTGCTATATTTTAAACCCAAGTTATTTAGTGTCGAGAGGTCTCAGTGTATGTTTGTGTACAGTCAAATTTAGATTAAGGCAGAGACCAATGTTAATAAATCCAATTTTGTCAACATTCAATGGCAGATTCCATGAAACAGTCCATTCGTATAACTTGTTTATTTATTCTTGAATTACCGCTGAAATATAGCTTCTTTGGTAGGAGAAGGGAATTAATAAACCACTTTTAAGTAGTCGGCAAAAAGGAAAGGTTTACTCCATTGAAAGAGTGAACACACGTCATTGATGATAAAGACAGAGAGTAATGGGCCAATCACATATCCCTGCATAACCTCATTGGTTACATCCACAGGATTAGAGTAGGCGCCAAACTTCGAGATCAACAAACCAGATTTCCTAAGGACCGTCGTGCATTGACCAAATTGAGTCACTATGAATAATCGTTTAACAATCAATTGAACGAGACTAGTCACTATACATAAGCTTCCTTGACAATGAGAAAGCATTTGAAAGGAGGATCTTATGGAACCTTATTAAACACTATGGTGCGAGTAGCTGAGAAGATCCTAAATATCATTCGGGATTGATACAACGGACAGCATTGAAAAGTGATACATGGAGGACAGATGTCAGACGCATTAGAAGTGAGAATCAAAGTCAAGCAATGATTCTTTCTTTCCTTTATCTTTATTCTGGTGGTTGACTGAATTATGAAGACCTCCACGAAATACCATGGACAGCTTGGATACAGATAGATTATTTGGACTTCTCAGATGACGTAGCTTTTCTATTCACTACACACCAACAAATGCAGATGAAGAAAACTAGCAGCAGCCTCTGTAGTAATAGACCCTAACACACACAAGAGAAAAAGCAAGATCCTGAATTACAAATAGACAGCACCAACCCAATCACACTTGATGGAGTGGCTCTGGAAGAGATGGGAACTTTCACGTACCTGGTCAACATCATCGATGAACAAGGAGGATCTTATGTAGATGTAAATGCGAGGATTGGCAAAGTAAGGATAGCATTCCTGCAGTTGAGGAACATATGGAACTAAAAACAACTGTCAAATAATATCAAAGTCAGGATTTCCAATAAGAAGGTCAAGACAGTCCTACTGTATGGAGCTGAAACTTGGAGAACTACTACAACTGTCATCACAACCTTACAAGTATTTATAAACAACTATCTACACTCAGAAGTTCTGTTCTAAACAGTGTTAGTGTATTCATCATTCTATCAGTTTTTTTTTAAAAATGCAGTGTTGTCTTATTCTGCTAGAATGCATAGACTTAATTTTCAAATACAACT